TGTTAATGGAATAATATTTGGTTCTAATGCTGAAGTAAGAACCCAGTTTTGTTTAAACTGAGGGGCTGACAACTTACTTTCTTAATCTGATCTAGGCTGGTCAGCTAGCAAACACTCTAAAAGATAGCAAACATGCTAAACAACTCCAACATTAATATCACAGGCTGGAATTAAAGTACTTATTACATGATTCACTGTAAAACGGCAGTATAAAAATCTAAAGAAAGTCAATTGAATGACTGACACACTTCAAATGTCCATGTTTTATTCAGATCTGCCTTCAGTAGCATCAAACCCAGGCTGAATCTCAAATGGACCCCCTAAATAAGCTTGGAAATTTTCACCTCTACAGCCATATAGTGCACTTTTTGTTGTGCACAGATGTGGCTGAATCCCATATGAATATTTTTAAGCTATATTATGCACTGTTGGGGTGCAGGAGCCACTATTTAAATTTCTTTGTAGCGCACTATGTAGGGAGCAGGGAGCCATTTGAAGTGTAGCCCCAGTGTCAGAGGAGGGGCACCATTAGCTTGGTGCTAAATAGCAAAGAGGCGCTAATGGAAATTAGCATTGTTGTGGTAATTTGGTGATAGAAATGTACTTAGAAAGCCATTTTTTTTGCATTAAACAGTGCTATGCTATGATATGTTCTATATTATCTGACAAAAAGTAAAATCATAGTAAAATCATACCTCTCATGGCTTATTGCTTAAATAAACAACATTAAAACCAACACAAAAATAACATTTCTGCCAGGAGGAACCATTAAAAACAATAATTAAAATCCATATAAAAACATTTCTGTCACTCTTCAAGAAGAAGAATTAAAGACATTAGTAAGCAACATTAAAACCAATGTAAAACCTACATACTGCTGCCCTACAGGAGGAACCAACATAAAAACTTCAGGAGGCCACGATCCTTGAAGATGGTTTTATTACAGTGCCTGACTAAACAATTCTGATAGACAGGCTTTTATACAATGCTGTTGCTAATGATTATTCTCTGTGGTAGTAAGTCAGGAGACAAAGACAAGCACTCCGATCAATAACTGTTTTGAATACAGATTGATTTTCTATTAGTGTGGTATACTACAATACTGTATTATGCTGTTTTAAACTAATAATGTGTAATAACTGAAGTGCGTGTACATTAGTATATGAATCTACAACAGATTTCTATGATTGTGGAACGTTTTATCCCTGAAAAGAAAATAACACTGGGAAAATATTACCTTTACATTGTCCACTACAGCCTTGAACACTGGATTGTTGAATTTAACACTGCGCCAGTATTTGGGTCTGTTTGGGTTCAGTAAATTACAGCCGTATTTCTCCAGGATGCTCAGAGCTTTCACCACACGGTTCAGGGACTCCATAACCTCAGAAAAAAAATCAGAGAATAATCAGAGAAAAATCAGTGAAAACTTAGGGAAAGTCTGACAAATAAAATCTGTGAAAAACTCTGAATAATCAGGGCAAAATCTTAATAGAATATAATAGAATATAATATAATGGAATAATCAGAGAAAAGTCAGAGATAAATCAGAGAAAAATCTGGGAAAAATCTGGGAAAAATTAGAGTATAATCTGAGAAAAATCTGAGAATAATCAGAAAAAAATTAGAGAATAATTAGAGAAAAATCCGAGAATAATCAGAAAAAAATCCGAGAATAATCAGAGAAAAATCTGAGAAAAATCTGAGACTAATCAGAAAATAATCAGTGAAAAATGTTACTGGCTTCACTGGGTAATCTGAATGCTTCTATTTAATGATTAGGATCACTTTGTTTCATAATTCATATTTTTTTATTGGTATTAATGTGCTATTGTTTTGCTCTCTGGTGTGAACCATATTTTCTAAAGCTGCTTTGTGACAACAGCCATAGTAAAAAGTGCTAGCCAAATAAATTTCAATTGCGTTACGATCAGAGAAAAAGCTGAATAATCTGAGAAAAATCAAAGAAGTACAAGAATAATTAGAAAACGCTCAGAGACAAAAACAATATAATCAGACAAATAATCAAAAACTAATCAGAGAAAAATCAGAAAACAATCAGAGAATAATCACACCAGAATTGAGGAGTATAAAACAGTATATATAATAACAGATCACAGTAAAGAGAGATTTTACAGAGACACTCACTCACACAATTTCCCCCCTTATCTTATAATGTAGCAATCAGCCAATACATGTTCGTTGTCTGAATTTAGGTACTTTAGTTTTGCACTATGCCTCATATTTTTGTCAATTTTTGTATAATCTATAAAGCTGCTTGGCTGGATTCCTTGCTAGCTCCGCTGGCATTGTAGCACCAGTGCTAAACTAAAGAAGTAACCTTCAGACACCAGACATATCTTGGCTAATTGACTGCACTTGAGGTCAGAGGGAAATTGCGTATATTAAGCTTTTTAACAGAATCTATTGCTTTAGTATCTATGAAGAATTATCCCTCACTTCTTGGAGGTTCTTTCCAGTGACGTTGTCTGATATGATGGTCTCAGCAGGGATGTGCTTGTATCTGCTGGACAGTGGCATGGCCGTCTCTGCCATGGCCATTGTAATGAGTTTAGCCTCCTGGGCCGAGGCCGACGTGGACAGACATGATTCTGCTTTTTTCCTCAAATCCTCAAACTGGGCCGAGAGGGAAGCCATGTGTTTCTGCCAGCCCTGTTACATCCAACTGGATTTACCTGAAATTAACAGATAAACACTGCAACCTGTATAACTATGAGCCAGAGACATAAAGGAAGAGGAGACAGTTCACTACGTGGAAAATAAATGGGAATGCTTGTAACAAGCTTTATACGTAATAAGAGACCGTTGGCTTGTTAGTAAGGCCAAGAAAAGTTACCCTTGTTGTTGAGATGTGCACAAGCACAGCAGCCTTAACACTAGCCAAACACTAGTCATTTCAAATATGTCTTTGAAATGTTAGTATAGCTTTGAGGTTGGACGTTATAGGTCCCTCCCCATTCAAGGGACAGAAGCCTGATCTTATATGACTACAAATAACTGCCCAAGATGGCCACTGAGTGGACTGGCTTTCCAAGAGCTTTGGTTGAGCCTCCAACCCTGCATTTTTAACAAGAACAGCACGACTGTAGTATCTTCTTTTCTGGAAGTCTCTCTTATGAATGAAACTGGCTGAACAACATTCTAACACACTGTACTAATCAGCAGTGTCTCTGACACACTGTGCTGCAGTGTGTTTATGGCCTGTTCACACTGCTGCCCTCTGGTGGACGGTACTGCAGTACTATACTGTACATAAACAGGTTCAAGTAGCTTCTCCTCACAGGCTGTAAGGGGAATTCCACCAAAATGTCAGCATAATTAAACTGTTGAGTTGTAAACAAAGTCATTCAGAGTGGTTTGATGTGAAATGGTTTATTGTAGAGGAACTCAATGAGTCAGATTTCTTCATAGAATAAAATAAAAGTCATTTTATTTACCATGCAAATGGACCAGTAAACCTAGGTGTGTCTTCTGAGTTTGTTTTGTATGTAATGTTTTAATGTACATATGCATGGACGTATGTATGTAATGCTGAAAATGATAAAACAGTGGTAAATCTGAAAAAATATATATATATTTATTGCTGCTGGCGGAAAAAAACCTCTCCAAAGTAATAACTTTACAGGAGAAGCAAAAAAAAAACCTACTTTACTTTTAATGTAAGTCGACGTAATCAGACTTTTTCCTAGTAATTCTGGGCCATTTCTTTTGGTCCATTCATGATAAAATTTACACACAATGTAAATGGTGACAGGCATTTTCAAATCATGTCAAAAACTGAAAAGCGACAAAAAGGGAGATGCGAGGTTTTGTTCTGACAGCAGTGAAATATTCTTTGGGTACTATTTTGCCTTATAACACCCTGTAGGTGCCTCTCCACCATTAAAATGTCTTTAAAAAATGTCTTCATGTCAAAATCTTATCTCGAAACTGTTGTTTTTGCAATAACTTTCTGTGAGGGAGCTTTTACAGGCATTAAACACTTCAGACGTCTGGTTCCTATCACCACCACTGTGAACAATTCTGAGTTGGTAAGTTTCTCCAGAACAGAGCAATTCATTTCATTTCAGACCACACTGAATGACTCTGTTTACGTCTTAAACATGTTATTATGCAAAAAATTTGAAAAATCAGAGACAACTGCACACTTTACTCTCACTTCCATTACTAAAAGAGTATACAGACTATATTAGAATTACTGAACTCTAATTGTAATGAACCATGTGCTGCCTGCTGCACAACTACAGTACTTTACCTCAGAATGTTACACACTGTGCATTTAGGGTCCAATCATAAATATGACATTATACTATATTGTATACTGTATTGTATTATATAACTTTGTTGGACATACAAATGCTAGTTGTTTTACTCTAGTCTTTAATTAAGCACATATACATATAAGACTATTCTGTGTGTGTTGTACTCTTATTATGAGTGCAATATACTGGATGTGGCTGTGACCAAACTTATAATACTTATAAAAACATTATACTAATAATAATAGTACAACATCCGGGTAACGTCTATAGGCTCCTATAGTGTTAAAGGTAAAGGTAGCGTCTCAGGCCCCTTTTACACTTTGACCCTGTTAAGGAAACACAAATCTAACACTACAATTTACCTTCCTAGTCCAGGAATGCTGCTTCCCTGAGTTGTGCCGCCGCTCGTTTCCACCTCGTATCTACGCAGGAATCACTGAATAATTAATAATTCGCTAAATAAACTCGTTTCTGAGCAGAGAGAGCTGAGCTGACTGGATCTCGTCACAGCTTGCAGGAAGTTATAGTTGCTTTCGATTTGTTTCCCTTTTTTTAAGGTGGACTCGGCCTAAACCTCGTTTTAGATTTAGCTTTTATAAAATAAATAGGAAAATAATGATCTCAGATTAAGTTTCAATGTACTGCAATTATACTGAGCAGTCCATTAAGTTTAAAGTAGAAATCATTTTTATGTAAACCAGTAGGTTCAAGGCAGACCACCTTAAGAGGACTCTTTCCTTCGCCACAGCTTTAGACTGGGAGGGATCAGCTTTTTCAGGTGTTGATGAAAGCGAAAGTGTTTCTACAGAAGGACGGAAGAGTGACAGATCAACCTGCTGCTGCTTTTGGACTTAAACTGGCAAATTTATCGATTAAACCAGCCGAAGAGCAGTAAAAATGTCCAAGTTCAAGATAAACCAAGAGAACGCAGTGAAGGTAAGGCTGCATGTGTTCGTAGGTTGATTCATTAGCTGTAACGAACGCCTGTAAGATCAGTAACTGTGGCTAAGAAACAAAGCTGGAGTTAGCTTCTCATTCGGATTTCCCGTTCCACCTTAAATGAGGAGGCGCCAGGATGTAACTGCCGCACCATGTGAGTGTTGCTGCTTCAAGATAAACGGGCTGCTGTAAACATCGAGACAGTGATATCGGTCTAAATGAGCTAATTAAACGAGTTTAGGAAACTGTTTCGAATGTACACGGCGCCGGCTAATCGTTGCCCGAACTAGCAAAATCCGACTCGCAAAACGAATCGGTTCATTTAAACTGATTCATCAGTTCAAATGAAAAAACTTTTTTGTCCCATTTCTAAAAAAAGCTGCTTGTTTAATTCTGAAGAATTAAAACAACAGTCGAATAAATAATATAACATCATAATATTCCTTTGGCACATATTTAGCGCATGCTTTCAAAATGAGCTTAAATGTTCTCTCTGCACCGTTTCCTCTTTCTCTTGCCGTTTACGGACTACATTACTTGGTAGAAGTACTGAGCATCCGATTAACTTACTAAAACGGAATCTCGTCGCAACTGGAGGAGATAAAAATAAACGATAAACAATAAAGCTGACGGTTTTCGAATCAATGAATCGGACATTCGATTCGACAGTTCCTTGAGAATCGGTTCGCTAAGCAGAGTATAACTTGCCATCGTTGCGATGAAGGCTAACGGCTAACGCTGCGCCAGTATGGGCGTTTCTGAATGATTTCTGTGGTAAACGTAGAATGTAAAGTAGTCGAAGTAGACGAATAAGTTAAAGGAGCTAAAGTAGCCCAACTGTTCTCCACAATGACTTGCATATTGTTAAGTTCTGTGCTAGTCGGTTTCACTTTCGTTTAGAGCCGCTCCAACCGAAAATCAAAAATCTTTCCTCGTGTTTTGACTGATTTAAGAGGGTTTTACGTGGAGGTTAAGAGAACCACATTATTACTAAAGCACATAAAGAGCGTTCAGTACCAACTCAGCAATCTCAGCACTTCAAATTTATCAAAAGAGCAAGTTAAGGTCAGGGAGGGGCTGCTTCTGGGGATTTTGGGGGGATTCTGTAAATGGAGAGTCAGGTGCACACTGCACACATACTATCAGGAAGGCTTTGGAAATCATACAAAGAGACTTTGCAGTACTTATTATGTTTGTTATGATATCATGTGCCATTATTAAAGTTACTCTGTACAAATTAAAGAGAAAAACAAGGGGAATTCCACCAGTTGTTCAAAATGTCTGAATAATTCAGTCCTTAATATGTAGACAGATTAATTCAGGGCGTTTTGACGTGAAATAGTTCATTTTAGAGAATCTTACAGACTGATTTCTTTACAGTGGTGGTGATAGGAACCAGGGGTCAACACAAATATAGCCATTTTATTTATTATTCAAAACCACCAGTGAACCTCTGTGTGCCTTCTGGGTTTTTTGTACATTGTACAGTATTGATGATGGTAAAATAGTCAGAAATTTCAAAGAATACATTTTCTTTGGGGACTGTTTTACCTTACAATGCCTTGCATATATTTATACCCCTCTGCCATGGATGGGTTAAACTAAATGGATTAAAATACATTTTTAACCAAAACTTTATCACAAAACAATTATGAAACACTGTGACAGGCAGCGTATATCTAACCATTTCATGGAATAGCTCTCTGTGAGGGAGCTTTCAGAGGTGGACGTCTGGTTCCTATCACCACCACTGTGAACAATTCTGGCTCTGTAAATTTCTCGAAAACAACATTTCACACCAAACCATTCTGAATGACTTTGTTTCAACCATTTAATTGTGTTGTATTTTTGAAAAAATCAGGTTCCCCTTTTAAGTAATAAAGGCCATCACGAGCCACCAACACAGCTTTAATGTGCATTTTACAGATTGTACATGTCTCTGGAACAGTACTGGAGGGATGGAACACCACTTATAAAATATATTACTTTTTTAAGATATTGTTTTTTATGATGTTGGTGGTAGGGGGCACTCCATATGGTGTGATGGTCCAAAATCTCCAATATGTAATTGGTCTGAGATCTGCTGATGGTGAAGACCATAGTATATGATTTACATCACTTTCATACTTATCAAACCATTTAGTAACCCTGCATGCCCTGTGGATGAGGCACTGTCATCCTGGAAGAGACCATTCCCATCAGCATAACAGATTTTGCAAAGATACAACAGATATTGCAAGATATATCACAGTTGCAATATGATACTGTAATATAATACTGTCTGTGTTGTGCAGCTCTGCATTGCAGAACATTTACTGGATGCACTAAATACAATAAAGCCCAGGGCAAGCACGCCATACTACAATAACAAGGCCTTGGGCACGACCTCCAACACTACATATGCCTAACTCTGTATCTTTATTAAATGTTTGGCTCAGGATAAATACAATTACAAGCTAGTCTGTCCATTACAAAGTAAATAAGCAGGTCACTTGACTTATGGCTAATTCCTATGCTTTTTTTATCCAGGTTGACAACTTCCGCACAGCACTGTATCAGCAGGTAAGGTTTCAAGAAAACAGATTTAGTTTGGACTTACTTTAAAAATATTTGTCCTTAATGAAGGACAGCATCCGTAAGGCTACATAACATTTATAAAGGCTTATTCCAACAAGTGTCAGTTATTATAAAGCGCACTTTTGTCCATTTTGATTTCATTTCACCTCAGTAAGTGTTGCATTTGACGCTTGTTGATATAAGCCTTTATAAATGCCTGCATAGCTTTATGTCAGGCTTATGTTGGTGTCTTATAGCATTATGAACGCTGGCCTTCAGTGAAGTGTTACCAAATTAGTAACCTAGCTGCCTTAATGTTGATTTCATTGTATATTAGTAAGTGAACAAAGTGTGTCATTTCTTTCGTTTTAAGTTAATAAAATTAGCATTTTACTTTTTTAGTTAAACGTCACTTGTATGCATATTCATTCAAATATGTTAAAACTGATCATTCTTGTAAATAGCCATTCGTTTGAGTTGTGGTTGTCTTTTTCTGTAGGCTGAAGACCTTTTCTCGAACCACATTCCTCTGAAGATCTCTCAGCTGGACAACCTGCTCCAGGTAAACACTGCAGTTCACTGACAAAAACACTGAATAATAATATACAGTACAATATATACTGGCAGTCAAAAAGAACTGCTCAGATGCACAAACACTGAGTTGCCAAATAGTTAGATACTCCTGCCATGTACCTGTGAGGTTCGTCTGCCTTATGGGAGCGTTAGGTATATAATTACAGACTGTAGCTTGTTGTTGTCCTCCATCTTCCCCAGGGGTCACCACTATCAAGCAGGAGCTTGGCTGATTCCACTTGTTTGATCTGTTGGTCTGTGTCTTCAAACAGTTGATTAGGTTTAGAAAGTCTGATCCTGCTTGGCAGGAATGAAAACTTGCAGCCAGGTCAGTTTCAGACCACAGACTCGGAAACTGTCTCTGCATCTCTGATATTCAAACTTGTGGTCCATATGCAACCCAGCAGTGTTTAAAAACTCCAGCAACTCACTTGTACACCAGTGTCACTGCTGTGCTCAGAATGATCCATATAACATCTGATCAGCAGCAGTCCAGTGCTGATGGATCAACCACTGTGGGCAGCAGCGAAGAACGCACTTGAAAAGTATTATCAAAGCATGAAAAAATCAAGACATTAAAATTTTATGATTCTATTTTTTCTGACATCTGATAAGTTAGAAAAGACAAAATAAAATTTAAAACATTTAAAAAAATACTATCAAAAACTGCATACAGTTATTTTTATTCAACTTACTATACTAAGTTGCACTGAAGTTGCCCTTACATTGTGTTACAATTCATGATGAGTGGACCGACAGAAAAGTTCCAAAATTGCTTGAAAAAAAAGTTAAGAAATTTTTTACTTCTTTAAAGTTACCAAGTTGGAGATCCGAGGTTTTGCTCTGACAGCAACAGTAAGCTCTTTTTGTAATCAAAGATGCAGTTGGTCAGTGTTTGTAAGTGCTAACCAAATCCACAATATACTCAGAAAAGCATATTGTGACATGTTGTGATGTAACACGATACTAGCAATAGCAATCCAGTACTTATATCCAGCACAAATTGATCTATACTCTGTCATGCTACTGTAAAACTGTAAAAACAGTCTGTTTACAAATACAGAACAACACACTTTATTACAGAGGTGACAAAAACACGGCCTATAGGCCAGGCCCAGCCTGATTATAGTTCTTATCCAGCCTGCCAGGTTCTAAAGGAAAATCACCTTTTGGATTCCAGTTGACTGTTTGCATTAACAAATGCGCAATCAGACGTTTTAGGTTAGACTTGCTACAGGATCAGATTGGTTCTTTTTTTCCTCTGATATCTGATCCAGCACTTTCTGCTGATGTTGGACTGATACAGACAGGTTTGGGTGCCCCTAGTCATATGCCATGTTTTGTTTTCTAAGTAAAATTAAGTGAACATGTCCTCTACAGAGAACACACTTCTGCACACTTTAATAAACAGGTATTGTTTATTTGCTTAATTGAACATCTTGGAAAAAATTAAACATAAAATGTGGCCTGTGCAAAACTTATGGCACATTTAAATGCCATATTTAAGGCTACATTCACGTTACAAGCCGCATTGCTCAAATCCGATCTCTCTGACAGGATGGTTCACACTCATTTAGGTAAGTGATTCAAATCTGTCATTAATGTGAACGAACTGGCGTCCTGAAATGACCTGCATGCGCACATCCTACTCAGTAACATCACATGAATGAATCAGCTAACAAACTAACAAGCAGAACGAGCTTCGCTGAGAAGATAATTAACTCTGATCAGCTCTCGGCTTCATTATTAGGCTACGTTCACATTACCAGTTGGCACAAATCAGATTTTTTGCCCTAATGTGACTCAGATCTGATGTTTTCAGGGCTGTGTGCACGCGCAAATCTGATCTTTTCAAATCCGACCTGAGCCACTTTCATATGTGGTCCTAGATCGGATACGATTCATGGCCATGCGACCTTAATGTGACGCTCAGATCGGAATTCATGTGCTTTTTTTCCACTGTGCATGCGCCATCATTCAGCGTTACCATGGCAGCCGCGCTGAACAGACATTAAAGCCTGTAAACGGTAGAAAAGCGACACATCTCACCTTTTTCTCCTTCGTCTCACTCTAATAATGAACAGCTGAGAGCTGATCAGAGTTAATTATCTCCACAGTGAAGCTCGTTCTGCTCGTTAGTTTGTACTGATGGTGTACGTGATTCATTTACGTGACATTACTGAGTAGGATGTGCGCATGCAGGTCATTTCAGGACGCTGGTTCGTTCACATTGATGACAGATTTGAATCACATACCTAAACTAGTGTGAACCATCGTGTCAGAGAGATTGGATTTGAGCAAAAAATTGGATTTAAGCAATGAGGCTTGTAATGTGGACGTAGCCTTAGAGTGAGATGAAAGCAAAAAAGGTTAGACGTGTTGCTTTTCCACCGTTTACAGTCTTTAACTTCTGTTCAGCGCGGCTGCCATGGTAACGCTGAATGATGGCGCAGGTGCAGTGGAGAAAAATCACACAAATTCCGATCCGAGCTTCTCATTAAGGTCGCATGGCCACGAATTGGATACATATCCTATCTAGGACCACATATGAAAGTGGCTCAGGTCGGATTTGAAAAGATCAGATTTGCGTGTCCACACAGCCCTGAAAACATCAGATCTGAGTCACAGTAGGGCAGAAAAATCGGATTTGTGCCACTTTAACCTGGTAATGTGAACGTAGCCTAAGTGTGTTCCCTTACTGACTGGGGGTTCTCAAACTTCTGCAGATGGCTGTAAATGGCCTTTCTTTTGTACTTCGGTTAAGCCAACAGTGCATTAACTATTTCAGTGAGACAGTCTATAACTATATAACTATATAACTGACCAGGTCAATGATTAAACATGGATCTAATTCTTCTTCATTGTAATCTATTCACTGTTTAGTCTGATGAATTCTGCGTTTCTGACCTTACCACTCTGCACGCCCCGCTGGACATCCCTATCCCTGACCCCCCTCCACCAGAGGATGAGGTCGGTATACACTTATCTGATCAGGGAAATAAATTTAAATGGTACAAACCCTTTATAACTGATGTCAGCGTTTGATCCTCACAGGAAATGGAGACAGATAAGAATGAAGAAGAGAAGAAGAAACGTAAATCTCTCTTTCTTATCTGCACTTTAAACACTGATACTCCTTAATCACTTTAACTTCATGTTGAATCGTTTAATTCTTTATTAGTTCGTATACATTTTCACTTTTATCTTTCTCATCTTTCTCCACAGCTCCTAAATGTGGATTCATCAAAGGAAACGAGAAAATCATTAAGTTGCTGGATATTGTTAAACCAGAAATTACCAGTCTGAAGGAGACCATCATTACAGTAAGTGATGCTGTAAAATGTGATGTCACACTTTCTTTTTTTCATAAATGCATCTTTATGTGCATTTATTAACATGGGAAACTGTAGGGGCTGCAGGTGGACCCCTTGTTTTAATAGCAATATGCCTACTTGTATTCTGCAGCCATGCTGCAGTAGTCTATGGAGTGAGAATAAATAAATAAACTGGGCCTTGAAAGCGGCATTTAATATGTTTTAATGTTCACAGTTCCTTCAAATTACAGTTCTTTAGCAAGCAGCTTGTTGCTACGTCAGAGTAACGAGCTCCGCTCACTCGATGCACAGCCGGCAGTTTGTTTTCCAGCTCCACACAGAACAACTGACAGTTTGGGAATTTAGTGTAGTCTCATCTTCAGAGTCTGACCAAATCGGCTGTCGGTCAAATGTAATCTTAAACGTGTCCATTTTCTGTTTGTGGCAAAGTAAGAAGTAAATCGTTCAATTAATCATTGACTCTAATGCTGATCGCATGGAGCACCGAGTGAAATGATGAAATAAGAACCTGTTTTTGTTTAAACTGAGGGGCTGAAAACGTATTTTCACAACTAGAACTAGGCTGATCAGCTAGCCAACACGCCAAAATATAGCTAACATGCTAAACAATGTTAATATCACAGGCTTGAATTAAAGCACTTACAAAAAACGGCAGTATAAAAGTCTAAAGAATGTCACCTGAATGTCCTACACGCTTCAACTGTCCGTGTTTCAGTCAGAAGTAGCATCAAACCCAGGCTGAATCCCAAACGGCTCCATACTCCCTAGTTAAATAGTGAGCTGTGTAAAATTTAGAAATTCTAGCTTCTGCTGTCAAATAGTGAACTGCTTGACCATTTTGATCTTGACCATTCATGACCATTTAGCGTTATTTTGCTTTGTTGGTGCAGGAGTCAGTATTTAAATTCCTACACAACTAAGGGCGCTATGTAGGGAGCAGGGAGCCGTTTGAGATTTAGCCCCATTATGAGAAAAGTGACGCCGTCAGACTGGCAGAAGACTCGCGGTGGTAATTTGGTGACCAAAAAGTACCTATAAACTGAAAGTATTTGCATTAAACAGTGCTGTGTTACATATGTTCACTGTTATACGAAAAAAAAAAATCATGAAATGTCTGCATTGTACAGTGATTGGCAACCGAACGTTCTTCTCCACATTCAGCGGTCAGTGGCTGCTTAGCAACGATGCTGTACTCTAACGGAACTATATTTCTGAATAATTATCTAAAACATTGTGTGTTTTAATATATTTTATGTTGGCGCTATTTTATAAAAGCAATAAGCCACTCGAGGCAGTGGATTACTCTAAATTTTATCACGAGGAAGGGAGTTTTAGGCACTCCGCTTCACATATGTATTTTTTTTTTGGCACATACTCCAGAGCTTCAGTATCAAGATCATCACTGAAAGCTGCTGTAAAGTCACTTTGTGTTGTGGTAATGAAACTCTGTGCTCTCAGACGAGAGTGTAAGACTATCTAACTTACCCAGATGAACTGATGTTCAGTTTACAGTATATTATCTTAATATATTATAATGTACAGTATAAACAGTGAACTCACAAACTCCTGTAACTTCTCCCACAAACAAGAATTCACAGACAAAAATGTATGCGTGGTGTTTACTAGGGCTACTAAATTATTTTACCTCATCTTTATTTACCCTTTCGTACAGGTTGCCTGCTGGATTTCACATCTAATTCCCAAAATAGAAGATGGAAATGACTTTGGAGTCGCCGTCCAGGTGTGTTTACAAAACCTTCCAACCTCTTAGAGCCTGTTTAATATAGCCACTTCATGAGTGTCAAGCTAATCGGATCCGATCTTGAAAAGTGAGTATAAATGGGGCCAAGATGCACTGGAGAAGAATTGCTATACAAACTCTCGGAGACTTAAGGAGAAGATCTGAGATGGAGACACAACTGAGCCAAGTGGAATCATAACCATTTTTTCAAGACATATGCAATCCTAACTCCTCCCATGTAGAACTACGTCAGTAAGGAAACTGAGGTACGGCCTGGAGAAGATAAAAGAACCTGCAGTCCATTGCAAATGAAATCAGATGTTCAGTGAAGCTAGTTTGCCAGTAATTTAGCAAAAAATGACAGTTCTTCAAGGGTTCTTTAGTAAAGACAGTGGTTCTATACACAACCATGAACACTCAAAGAAAACTTAAATTACATGGGGTAATCGTTCTTCAGTTTGATGGAGAACGTGTTGCATATGGTTACATACTGGTAACAGTAACAGTAGCAAAACCCTTTTTGGTGCTATATAGTACCATTTTCAAATAGGTTCTAGAACTATATACAACACATTCTTCATCAATCTGAAGAACGATTTCAGCATGGAAAGGACTTTTTAAACATGCAAATGGTTCTTTGAGTGTTTACGGTTATATATAGAAGTATTATGGAACCCTTGAAGAACATCTTTGTAGCAGTGTAGTGTAATCACAGGCAGCAAAAACAGCTGCATCCAACAGCTCCTGATGCCTGAACAGCTAAAAATAATAATATAAATATATTTCTAGTTTTTTGCACAGGAATTTTTAGAAAGGAAAAGAACCAAAAAAATGAAAACATATCAGTATTTTATATCAGTATTTATATCCGTTTTTTTATATCAGTATTTATATCCGTTTTTCTACAGCTAATCACTTGTAGGCAGTAGTACACTAGCATTATGGCGACTCAGTACTGATTGGATTGCTAGCATTATGGCTACTGAGAGCTGATTAGTTGGCTAGCATTACATCTGCAACAACCAAGTGCTAATTCATTGGCTATTGTTATGGCTGCTGAGCGCTGATTGTTCAAAGTCCACACTGTAGTGACACGAACAGTTTGCAGTTACTCAATCTAGATTACAGTAATGCGGCTCAATGACAAAGCAAATGGATATGACCTCCCACCTGAACATCATCTTCTGTGCCATGTTGGTCAGACAGCTTTAAACAAACCCCTCCGCTCTGACTGGTCTTAGCCTGTATCTCAAGGAATTTTGGGTAAGAGGCCCCTGCTGAGTGCACATTGATGTGGTCCTCACCAAAGGCCACGCTGAGGGTGCACAGACAAAACCCGGAAATGAAAATGCCACATGCAAATCAGGTTTCTGTCTGTGGAACTGAGATGCATTTAAATGTACACCAAACATAAAGAGAATGTGGATAAATCTTACAGTGCCCTCGAAAGTATTAGCCCCCTGCTGATTTCCTCTAGTTTTTGCATATTTGTCTCACTAAATGGTTTCAGATCCTCATACAAAATGTAATATAAGACATTGAGAACATAAGGGAAAAGTTTTATCTCCTATGTGAAACAGTAATTGCCCCCCCCACACCCCCCCACCCCAAATCTATTGTGCCACCTTTAGCTGACACAGCTGCAACCAAACTCTTCCTATAACTGGAGATCATTCTTTCTCATCATTGTGGAGAATTGCATTAATTCTGCTGCACTGGAGGCCTTTTGAGCACCAAATTTAAGTTGAGTTCAAGTTTCTTTTGAGCCAATCAGATGTTGGACTTGCCCTTGTGCTTTGGACTGTTGCCTTGCTTCATAACCCAATTGCGCTTGAGCTTCAGATTACGGACCAATGACCGGACATTCTCTTGCAGGATTTTCTGGTAGAGATCAGTTACGGAAAGTCCCCCAAGTCCTAAAGCAGCAAAGCATCCCACACCATCACACTGCCCCAGTTTTGACAGCTGGAATGATGTTCTTGTTGTGAAATGCTGTTAGTGTTGTGGCAGATGTAACAGGACTTATGTCTTCCAAAAAGCCCCACTTTCGACTCATCGGTCCACAGAACGTTATTCTAAAAGCCTTGGGGGTCACAAGAGTGTTTCTGGCAAATGTGAGATGAGCCTTTATGCTTTCCAGCTTCTATTTAAGGGATGCTTATAGTCAGCAGGGCTGGTGGTAATCTGGTCTGTGTGTGTGGATTTTTCCCAGTTAGCAACTGGTTAACTGGTTCATTGAGTAAAAAATACTTTTTGAGTGTTGGGTAACTTTTTCCCTTCAAGAAATTAAACGACCATTTAAAAATGGTATTTGTGTTTAGGTTCAGGCTCAGATCTGAAACAATTAAGTGCGACAAATTTGCAAAGGAAGGAGGGGGGCAAGCACTGGCTCACAGCACTGTATCTGGACATTACTGAATACAGGGCACATGAACTTACTAAGTGTAAACAGCCTCTCTGTTACTGTTCAGCCATTTACAAACACAATCATGAGACACTTGAAGAGGAAAAAAAAAGAAAAAAGAAAGCTTTATTTTAGAAATGCTTGTAAATGGAAAACTGGCTTTATATTTTACTGTGAATTGTAATTTTTGTGACACATCTTTCAGGAGAAAATCCTCGAGAGAATTGCTGCTGTGAAGACTAAAGTGGAGGGCTTTCAGACCAACATTAACAAGTACATCCCTCAAATCATCTCAAGTATCCACTTAACTAGAGCTTTTTAAGCTGTCTATGAGCAGTGATAGACAAAGTACAGCATATTATTTGAGTGAGTTCTGCTTGACTTAAAGCACAAAACAACTAGCTTTTAAATGTATTTTGTCCAACACTGACCAAAGTCACTCATCTCAGAATAGTATCTATATAAGTGGTCACCAACTCTGGTCCTGGAGATCTACCTGCAGAGTCTAATTCCAACCAGCTCCAGCTATTTGACTTCTACAGAATCCATGACACCATTGATTGGTTGGACCTCAGTGCATTAGTATTAGGTAAAAAGAGGTTGATACCAAAGTCTGCAGGAAAGTAGCTCTCCAGGAGGAGTGTTGGTGACCTCTTGACCTATATCCTCTTTCCTGTTCATCACTGTGGTTTTGATGATTTTCTCTGTAGGTATTTCTCAGAGCGAGGAGATGCAGTGGCTAAAGCCTCTAAAGAGACTCATGTGGTGAGAGAAAAAGGCTTTATAATCATGCTTACACTGTGTAGTGGTCATATCAAAGCAACAGCTTGGCAATGGTACATTACACTGTTATCTATAAAAAAAAGACAAAAATACTGACAGAATTCAGGCATTACGAGATCTGCTGCTACTGTTTTGGCGATGCTACATACTTTTGTCCATTCTTAGAGATAGCAGTATGTCATACACCGTCAGAAACCACATAAGCAAGTGTATTTGTGATCACTGAATAACATGGTTTGAGACAAGTATGTGATTTAGGCATGCAGCGTCTCAATTATTATCTTTCATTGCTTGTTAGCTAAATAAACTCCAGTGCTAAACTAAGTGGTGTAAATTCAAGGAAAATTGTGTATATTTTTGGTAAATTGTGTAAAAATGTTGATATATTTTTATAAAAAATGGTAAAAAGTTCTAATAATTTTAGTAATTTTGTTTTCTTCACTGCTCTCTGCTAATCGTGCTCTTTATTTTGCCACAGATGGATTACCGTGCACTAGTCCATGAGAAGGATGAAGCTACCTTCTCTGAAATCAGAGTGATTGTGCTAGATATCCGTGGATTCTACGTGAGTTAAATTTGCTTATTAAACCATGCACAGCAGCTTATTATACAGTTTAATCTTTTTTTTTTACATTTTAAAATAACATCAATTTTATCTTGGCCAATAAAGAAAAAATAGGACATACTAAATATTGTATATATTGAATAGTACTGTAATTGATTCTGATATTCCAGAATTAAAGCAGTTAAATTGACACCTAAAAACTTAAACTAGCACATTTTTTTCACTTCTAAATGAATGCAGTATGTTAGATGTTCATTTTTCTTTTTAAGAGAATATTCCTGCCGATAAATCCTCAGTGCATGTTGTGCTCGTTTGTAGGCGGAGCTGTATGACATCATCAGTAAGAACCTGGAGAAAGTGACCAATCCTAAAGGAGAAGAGAAGCCATCCATGTACTGAGACAGACAGACAGCAGACTTTTCCTTTTTCTTTCTTTCTTTTTATTTTTTAAAATTTCAAAACAGTAGGTTTACAGGTTTGTATCTGGATTTGCAATTTTAACCAGAATAGCTGCAGTCAGTTTTTACTGGGTTCTTACGCTCTCAAATAAATCACCCAAATAAATCATCCTTTATGCTGTACATTAAACAGTGACTCAGTCCTCATTTGATTGATGTTTCTGCCACTGTGCAGCTTTTAAGTGTAAATCAGGTAGTAATTTTCTCAGAGGAGGAACTCGCACATCTAGCCATGGAGGCTGTGAAAGTGTACATTATATGGCCAAAAGTATGTGGACACTCCTTCTAATTATTTAGCTCAGGCGTTTCAGCATTTCAACATCACTGCAAACAAAGGTGTAAAATCAAGCATCTAGCCATGCAATCTCCATAGACGTTGTCAGTAGAATGGGACATACTAAAGAGCTCAGTAACTTCAAATGTGGCGCTATCTAAGACAGGGGTATTTAATCCAAATTCAATAAGGTCCATTTAGAGAAAACCTCAAGTACCGGTCCAGAACATCATAATGTCTAACTTGCATAATGATTTAGTGCCGTACACTGTTTACTGAAGTAGCCTAGTAGTTATACCAACATCTTATGTAGTCAACAACTGAATGTCAAATCAAATAAAGTAGAATTCAGTAATATTTCAACATTTATTGTCAGTCTTCTCTTTTTAGAGTCATGTAAAATAACTTCCCTCTGGCTCACTTTCTTCTCCGACTGCTGTTTCTCGCCTCGTCCCTCCTTCGTGTTCATCAGTCACTCAAGTCTCAGTGCTCATCGTAATACACAGATCTGATTGGCTGAGTATCGTCACGTGTGATATTTACAACGCATGTGATTAGTCTGTGAGTTTCCTGGGCCACTAAAGCGGTACTGTGATGACTAGAAATGTTACGCAGATTAAAATGGGAACACTCCGTCAAAATTAAACAATTCCTAATAGTTTATCGGTTATAGGTCTAGGTCCGCATAGGACAGCGTCTGGTCTAAGATATCACCTTTGCCAGAAGTCAGTTTGTGAAATTTCTGCCCTCCTAGATCTGCTCCAGTCAGCTTTAAGTGCTATTACAGTAAAACAGAAGGATCTAGGAAAAACAAGAGCTGAGACATGACCTGGTGACTATGCAAACTCAGAGTGGGGCTACCGAGTCCTGAAGCTCACAGTACATAAAATCACATGCTCTGTGGTATCACTCGCTACAGAGTCCCAAACTGCCTCGTGAAGCAACATCAACACAAGAAACGGGTGTCAGGAGCTTCATGAAATGGGTTTCCATGGCCGAGCAGCTGCACACAAGCCTAAGCTCATTATGCGCAATGCTAAGTGACAGCTTGAGTGGTGTAAAGCACACCACCACTGGACTCTGGAGCAGTGGAAACGTGTTCTCTGGAGTGAGGAATCACGTTTCACTATCTAGGTTCACTGGATGAAATATGAAAGGGATAGCTTGTAAGAAATCAACATGATAGCTGTATTGTAAAAACTTATCTGCTTGAATAAAAAAAAAATCTTCTTGAGGGACATCGAAGACATAAGAAGAAAAATTTGATTTACATTATAACGGCTTTCAGTTTCGGGTTTATAGGTCTCCTCCCAGTCAAGGAGCCTGGTCTTATACAACCGGAAATAAATGCCCGGCCTTGTTGCCAGTACAGCTGCCAAGTTGAAGGTTTTATACGGACTTTACTCCTCACTGGAGGAAGTAAAGCATCTACTACACTCCAATAATATTCAGAGAGGCTTCAAGTTTGAATCTTTACTGAAGGAATCAACATCCAGAGTAAGATTGTTACCTGAATGCTTGTTACAAGCGTCAAAGTCTGTTTACACTGGAGTGCTGCTATATAATGCAGATATATGCTACATTAGCTTGGTGTCAATGTATATTGGCCATTGGGGCTAGCAAAAAATAGAATCACCTTAGTGGTAGCAAACAGAAACAAAAGTCACTTACAAGGTGAATTACAAGATTCACGTAATGGCAAACACCAAATATAAACAATATCAAACATATAGTGTCAATAATATCTGCTCTGCTGCAGCTACTGTTGAACTCTGCACTGCCACAATGGCCACACCTCTAATCAGCCAATGGCAGCAGTGTTCATTAGCATACAAAATCACCACCCAGAATACAACCTTTTCTTCAAAGGACAGGGTAAAACATCAATAAAATGTCTTATTGAAACTCATTAAAAGAACATAAAGGCCGTCCTCAGATATTTCAACATACTTTAAAATCTTTACACAGAAACCATGGACACAATTTCTTTCTTTCGTATTTAATTATAACAAAAACTCAATTATTCAGCAGTCATTTCTCGATACTGCTAACAGGGTTTAAGGTACATTACAACTCAGGACAACACCTCTTACAAAAGAAGAGAAACACAGAAAAGAGGGAAACTGAAAGGCAGGTATGAAGAAAGAAAAATTCAGGATGTTCATCCAAATCGTCTTATACTTCCGGTCCTTCTCCTCCTGGGATTAACTACATTGAAGAGAGAAAAAAAACTGCATGAACACCAAACAAACAGGTTTAAATGATTCATTTAGCATTCAAAGCAATCAACTGATGTAAACACAGCCAAAGTCCTTATAGGAGAGTCTGTTCACTCTGTGGCCATCTTTGCAACGCCGCCGGGCAGTTATTTCCAGCCATACAAGACCAGACTCCTCTCTCTTTGAAAGGGTACAGACCAAAAAACTAAACTGAAGGCCAAATTACTGTTTCAAAAACAACATGAAATCACTGAAAATCTGACAAAAACCTCATGAATAGTTTGCAGTGTTTGGGTCAGTAATGCATGAAAATGTGTTTTTTGGGTTGTTCTGGCTGCAGCGCTTGCACAGATCTCCCAATTTGCTGATTAACCAGCAAGCTGATTGGCTCTTTTTATTGAAGGGCAGGACTTTCTCCACAGACAGATGCCATGCTGACTGTTATGCATTTTCACATTCATAGTTCAACCAGTAACCAGTCTCCTCCTTTACAATGTCTCTGGCACAGCACAATTATTACTCTTTTATATGTCACTATTAATAAATTATCACATCTAGCAAAGCCAAAGGGCTTTTTGGGTGATTACTGAGTGCCAGTGTCAGCAATGTCAGCCTAGTAGCTCCAGTTCTAAACTAAATAAGCAAACTTACTCCAAACATGCCTTAGCTGATCTACAACATCTAGAGTAAGTAGAAAATTAGGTACATTTGAGCACAAACAGATGAGCCACCGTGAGACAACACATGCAAGGTACATTATTTTATTTTTTTTTTATTAATTAATTACAAACCCATTTCATTATTTTCCCTCCACATCCTTTCAGATGCCCCATACCTTCTTGACAAAACAATTACCATAAATAGAACATTTAGAACAGAATGCGTTTTTGCGAGTATCGCCAGGAGGACATTTTAAACCTTTGGGTAACTGGCTGTTTACGAAATTCTGTCCTTCCCCAAGTTACTGTTGCTATGCCCATCAAACTGTCAGCTCAGGCCACTTGGTATCCGTAACACACGAGGAGCTCACTAAACTGTGAAAAACTGAACAATGAACTGTTGTTCTGAGGCTCTGCCTCTCCACAACATTTTAATCTAATCAAAATTAATACTACTACTATTACTACTACTAATAATAAATCATTTTAAAAAATCATTAGAAAGTCAATCTCAACAGCACTCATTCAGAAAATCCTGTTTTCGGCATGCGACTCATCTCCCCTTTACAGCAGGGTGGCTGTGACTGAATTCTAGCTTGTCTAATCACAATGTAAGTCACGTTCACCAAAATAGAGTTAACAGCTTATGAAAGTTCTGAGCTTATAAAGTTTATGAAAATCAGCTACGTCTCGAGAATTTATCCTCGGTTGTTCAAGGCACTTTAGTGAAACGACGCTCTGGACAACTTCATTGCCATTACTGTGGTGTTTTGATGCTGCATTAAAACTACACTGACATTCTTTACAAAATCAGAACAACAGGCACTACATTAATCTGACAGAACTCAATGCGAAACAATCCCAGAGTGGGATTTTGGGAGAGTCAGGAGAATTCCTGGTGGGCTGACAGTATTTGGAGCCGATTACCGCGAGCTGAGTCTAAGCACAGAAATGCTCAGACAAACTGTTACATCCAAGTGAATATTTGTAGTAATTTAGTATTTAAACCAGCAGGTCTCACATCAAGCGGTGGTACAGCCTGGTTTTACTGCCTGTAACTGCGCCTACACTGGATAGAGATTAGATGAAGCTGAAGTTAGCTTCTTATTCTCATTACCCGTTCCACCTTAAATGATGTAGCAGCCACATTCAGTTGCCTCTATGTGTGCTACCAAGTAACTGCTACACTTTTTTACATGAAACAGAAATAACCACATTAAATTCAGCATGAAGGTGTGAATGTGGTACTGGCTCATACAACAGCTCTCTATGGAGTTTATCAGTTTATTTTTTTGCGTTAGCAGTGTGCAATTTTCAAATTGAATCATCTGAAGCAGCGAGAAGAACTGCAAAAAGACAAGGTGGCACCAAGAAGACAAGAACGAAAAAGCTACTTAAGGAGGATGAGGACATATCCGAGCAGGTAGGCAGTGAAAAATGCAGACCTTAACTTAGTTAGTTGGCATTCGTTTGTAGCACATTGCCTGTCATGATTAAGTCGAATTCAAGACAAAAGCTTTGATTGGCCACTTTGGTTATCTCAGTATAGCATATAAATGAATACATATGAGGAAGAAATAAGGTGAAAATGTGCAGTTAGAATAAGTACATTTAGAGTTTAGGGTGGGCTGGCCTGCGTCACGTAATGCCTGGTATGAAAACAAGTCCCACTGGCCCTGATGTGAAATGTGTGAAAATCTGTGAAACATTTATTAAGTAAAAAATGTAAATATAAAAATGCTTTCTAAATCAATGATTCCCTTACCATGGTTATGTTGTTTCCATTGAGCAGAATCTGATCCAGTTTGGTTATTCTTCTTCCCTCTGGCGTAATCTCACTACAAAAACACACAGATATAAGACAAGACTACACTGTTAGAAATAAAGGTTCTGGGCAGGTACATTTTTTGTTCATGAAGGTACAAACAATGTTAATGTACCTTAAAAAGGTACAACACTGGTTTTAAGGTCCAATTGTGTACCTTAAATAAGTTTTTCCAGGTAAATTCAATGGATTATGGTACACTTATGTTTCCTGACTAATGGCACTAAGATGTACCCTTGAGGGTACTACTCCAGCGACCGTTTCATACCTTTATTTCTGAAAGTGTACACTGGGTATCATTTAAGATTTTTCAGTACCAACACCTTGACCTTGGCATCAATTCCTAAATTACTGCTTTTCAAAATTTGGGTTGGTTTAACGTAAGATGCTCTGTTAAACTGCTTGAGAAACTTATTGAGTCTGAATTACGTACAAGTCTTTAGTGTTTAATGCTGCTAAAAGCCACCTCATGGAAAGTTATTACCTGAAATGATTATGAATACACTGCTTCATGCCTGACACTGTTTTATAATAAAATTTAGATAAGATTTTGGCCTAAAATGTTGTTTTTTTAAACTTTTGTTTCAGATTCATCACCATTTTACCATTATCAACATCTCATATAAAACTCCATTAGACATGTCTAGGTTCATTGGTGGGTTTGGGTAGTAAATCTGTGCTGTAGACATCGTGACTCCAACTTACTATCACCACCACTGTAAAGAAATCTAAGCCTGTAACACACCTGCTTGTTTCTACACTCTTTGTCCATTTTATCAGCTCCAATTACCGTACAGGAGCACTTTGTAGTTCTACAATTACAGACTGTAGTCCATCTGTTTCTCTGCATACTTTGCCTACTTTTACTTTGTTTTTCAGTGGTCAGGACCCCCACAGGACCACCACAGAGCAGGCATTATTTAGGTTGATCATTCTCAGCACTGCAGTGACACTGACGTGGTGGTGGTGTGTTAGTGTGTGTTGCGCTGGCCTGAGTGGATCAGACACAGCAGTGCTGCTGGAGTTTTTAAACACCTCAGTGTCACTGCTGGACTGAGAATAGTCCACCAACCAAAAATATCCAGCCAACAGCGTCCTGTGACCACTGATGAAGGGCTAGAGGATGACCAACACAAACTGTGCAGCAGCAGATGAGCTATCATCTCTGACTTTACATCTACAAGGTGGACTGACAAGGTAGGAGTGTCTAATAGAGTGGACAGTGAGTGGACACAGTGTTTAAAAACTCCAGCAGCACTGCTGTGTCTGATCCTCTCATACCAGCGCAACACACACTAATGTGCCACCTCCATGTCAGTGTTACTGCAGTGCTGAGAATGACCCACCACCCAAATAGTACCTGCTCTGTGAGGGTCCATGGGGACCCTGACCACTGAAGAACAGGGTAAAAGGGGGCTAACAAAGTATGCAGAGAAACAGATGGACTACAGTCTGTAATTGTAGAGCTATAAAGTGCACCTATAAGGTAAGTGGAGCTGATAAAAAAGGTTTTCCAGAGAGGAAAGAATGGATGTGCAGCACACACTCAGACTGTGTGATGTCAAGTTTTTGACTAGTTAAGTGGTATTTTGAAGGTTCTTTAGTTCTTTAGGTTTTTAGGGTTGAGGAGACTGACTGCTTTGGTACTATAATGTTGTGTTGAACAACAGCTTTTATTCTACTCTATGGTATTTAAATAAGTCACTCAGTACAGTAAGTGTAGAGAATGTTGATACCCAGTCCTGCTTTAGAGTATTCATGTGTAACTTGCAAAAAGGTAATAAAGAGAAATGTACTTACAATTCTGTCACATCCTCAAGCACCATGTCTGATTACATGGATAAAGGAAAGTACAGTGAAGAATTCAGCCTGGGAGGAACATTAGTGCTGCTGCAAATGCAGGACAGTGCAGAACATGGAAAACTCTCAAAGGATACTGACAAAGTCATCGAAACCCAGTAAGGTACCCACGATTTCTTTGTCGTTTTTCATGACGATGTGAATCCGGGAGCCGATGCATTTGTCCACCAGCTCTGAAACATAAAATTAAAGAGCAGAGTGTGTTATTGGGTTTAACAACTTAACTGCTTACTCAAACCCAAAGGAAATGTTCAGTTGTCTATATTTAGCAGCCTGCTTTATTAAAAGATTGTGCAATACCTCTGTACATTCACAGCACACTGAAAGCAGAAAGTGTACATTAATGCCATTAATTTACAGAAGTTCACAAGTAAACAACATAAAAGATCACATAGGTATTCACCCCATTTCTGTAAACCCTCTAAATTAGTTCTGGTGCAATCAACGGCCATCAGAAAGCACAATTAGTTGAATGGAATTTGCCTATTTGTCATTAAAATTTCATGTGATCACAATACAAATACACTTGTTTCTAGAAGGTGAACATACCTACACTAGCAGCATCATGAACACTAAGGAAAGCAAGTCCAGGACAAAGTTTTATAGAAGTGTCAATCATGGTTTGGTTATAAAAAAAAATTACTTTTAACACCATGTGGAGGACTTTTAAATCCACGAAAAGAATATTTCACAGCTGCAAATCTGCCCAGAAAAGGCAGTCAAAAGTTAGTGACCGGATCAAGAGGCCAATGGTAACTTTGAAGAAGCTGGACAGCTCCACAGCTTAGATGGTAGAAACTGTTCACAGGACAACCATAGTCCAGTACAGATAAAATTCTGATTGGAGTTGCTGGGGACTCAGCAAACATGTAGAAAAATGCTTCTCTGGACTGAGGAGATCTTAAAGGGGGTTTCTGGCCTTGTTACGTTTGGCCCTGCTCATCACCCTGAGATCACCACCCCCACAGTAAAACATGGTGGTGGCAGCTTCATGTTGTGGGAATGTTTCTCCTCAGCAGGGACTGGGAAACTGAACAGGGTTGAGGGGAAGATGGATGAGGCCAAAAACAAGGACGTTCTCAAAGAGAACCTGATCCATTCTACTTGAGGGCACATGAGAACGTATACACACAACTTTAACTTCAACGGACACTCACTTTAAATACATAACAAGAAATGTAGCCCTGCTTTCCCTGCTCCCGTAACATCCTTTTAAAGGGGAATTCCACCAATTTTTCAAAATTGTTGCATAACACTGTCATTGTGATGTAAACAAAATAATCAAAATAGTTGGACACAAAATGGTTCACTGCAGAGAAAGTTACAGATTCAGATTACATCTTTACAGTGGTGGGATGGGAACCAAGGGTTGCCAAGTCTACAAAACAAATAAAACTATTTTACCTACTATCCAAAACCACCAGTGAACCTACACGTGTCTTCAGAGTATATATATGTAATGTTTATCATGGTAAAACAGTGGAAAATCTGAAAAAAGTTTATTTGTGAGAGTTATTTTGCCTTAAAACGCCCTGCATGCGTCCCTGGATTAAAGTAAACCACTGTCTCCGACATCAGGCAACATATTCATAAGCATTTCGTGTACTAACTTTCTTTGAGGGAGCTTTTTAGAGGTGAACGTTTGGTTCCCATCACCGCCACTGTGAACATTTCTGACTCAGTACGTTTGTCTAGAACGAAGCATTTCACATCAACCCACTGTAAATGACTCTGTTTACATCTCAACCACTGAATTATGCAGAAATTTTGGGAAATTGGCGGAACTCCCCTTCAAGCAGTCCTCTTTTATGAACACGAAAGTGTAACTAAACTCAGAGAGACTAACAGACAGCAGCATGTTTCTCTCTCAGACGCTCACCAACGTGTAGCTATAGAGCAGAAACACAACAGAACCACAGCATAAACTCTTACAAGTCACCGTTACCGGTATGTTGTGACTGTATTTAAATCACTGTTATGTTTTTAATATTTATATCATACCGAGTGGAAGCAGCTGAGAGGGATTTGAAGCCGGTGTTGCCGCCATTTTGCAAACTGCACTGCACCGGAGCTAATATGCAGGTAAAGCGCAGAGCTGCGCCATCTGCTGGCTGTTTTTTTAAACACTTTGAATCGCCATTCATTTCGCCATAGGGAATTTTTTGAAAACGCATTAAAAATCACTCAAAGCTGGAACGCTTGTGAAAACAGCCATTTTACGACCATATAAGCACAGTACCAATTAATGCAGTATAACTGCAGAACATTTTGCTGGATAGCGTGACTGTAGCGATCAAAGTACAATTGAACTACAAAACCCATGACCCAGTTCCGGCGCCGCTTCGTGGCAGTGTGTGATAGTGATGTCATCCGCGCGCCAGATTTTGTAGTCCGTTTTGGGGAAACACTCGTTAAAACTGTGTTTCAATCTTTTACTGACAATTAATCTTCTGAAACACTGATATAGTGTTAAATATAATTGAATGTGGGGTTGATGCGGCGTATTATGCTGTATAAAGTGTAATGTGCAGCACCTCCAAGTCATTGAGAACCTATGTGTTGAGCGAAAACGGCAGGGGGCGATCTGCCCATTTTGCTTCACTTTTGTGCGGCTTCTTCTTATATGGGAGACAGTGGATCATAAAGTACGTGTTCGCAGCGCCCCCTGCTGTACAACCAGCTCAAAGAAAGAGGGGAAAAGAGAGGAAAAGAAAAACGAAGGGGTAAAAGAAACATTCCCAGCAACCATTTCTTCTGTTATCCCTCTACCCAGCAGCCCCCTAAGACACCGGTCCCTCACTTAATGCTATATTCGTATAGGGATCTTAGTAAAGTCAAAACATTATTATAATTTACTATAGAATACTACACAATTATTATAGATGGCTATAAGACAGGACTACATGAATATTATACAGAGGTGAAAATGTGTTATTATTGGAGCATTATATAGCACCAGAGACATATTATAGTTTCTTATAGTAAACAGTACTGCACACCCTTCATTTACTCCCTTTTCACTCCCATTGTTCAGCATGAGAAGTTTTTTTTTGATAATGTCAAATATTTTTCAAGTAATAATTTTAATAATTTAATCATAACAAGTCATGTTATGCTGTATGGCTCATTCTGGGTGTGTGTGCCTGTGTGAACGTGACTATGTGCCTGTGTGCCAAGCAGGCCCGATTGTGTGAAAACTGGGGCCTGGAGAAGCACCTACACACAGAGATGCTGTTTGTACTATATACTATTAAGAATGTGTTTGTAATCACATTAATGGTTGATTTGATTCCATAGTTAATCACACTTTGCTGTGCTGGTCCTCTCTCTCTGTGCATGTAGGCCTCTGTGTGTGTGTGTGTGTACATGCAAGGCCTCTCTGTATGTTCTTGGGCTTTGTCATATGTTTCAACCCGGCCTGGGAAAAGCTGCTCAGTACCATCTTGAACATAAACTGAAACTATGATAGGGCCACTTGGCCATTGTTTAGGAGCCTTGGCCTGCACACACGCACACACACACACACAGAGAGACCTAGTTTGGACCATAACTTTATTTTTTACCCATTTCATGTACAAAACATATATTTTTACACACTTCATTGCTAGTCACAATTAGGTATAACCTGTTTAGTCATAAATAAGGCATAATCAATAGATCCTAACTTATTTTGTACTCTCTTGATCAATCAAAACATGTAAAAGATGGATATGTTAATTGATGTGATATGATGTAATCAAGACCAAGTGTGTTTTTTATAATGGTATAATGGTATAATAATGAAATGCAATAGCTTAAGGCTATATAATTAAATGCAATAGCCTAAGGCTGGTGATTATTATTTTATGTACTGGTATATTAATAAATTGAAATGAACTGAAATGGCTGATGAAGGATGACATAGCACTTCTAGAAAAACAAAAAAAACAAAGGTGTTAGTCACAGAGGGCCGAGGCTGAGTGAAGAAACAATGTGTATGTGAAAGGTACAAAGACGTTGCGGTTGTAAAAGAATCCAGTTTAGTCAGAGTTGCATGTGACTGTAAGACAGATCAGGTGAGATGAGGTAATGGGGGTGGGTACCCCCTCCAGATCTACAGAACTACATAGAACTACAAACTACATCCAGAACTACAAAGTGCACCTATATAGTAAGTGGAGCTGATAAAATGGACAATGAGTGTAGAAACAAGGAGGTGGTCATAATATTATGCCTGATCGGTGTATGGTTCTATATAGCACCAAAATGGGTTCTTCTTTTGTAACAAGCTTGACATTGTAACAATAGAAGAACGCTTTTCAAAAAGGTTCTATATAGCACCATCTCCATCAACCTGAAAAACCCTTTCATGATGCAAAGAACTCTTTAATCACACAAAGCGCTCTTTGAGTGTGCATGGTTCCATATAGAACCATATTCATTACTGAAGAACAACCTTTTTAAGAGTGACAGATCTTTTTTGTAAGGGTTAAAAGGCTTTAGACTGATACTAGACATAAAAAGTAAGGAAAACTCGTTTCACTACACCCAATGAAGTCACGCTTTTTTATTTCCTTTATAAAAGATTTTAAAACTACAGCATATGTCTGGAAAATTATGTAAACTTCATTTCAGTGGGAGCAGTACATTCACATACATTATACACTTTTAAATATATTACTTGAAATACAATTATAAACATTACATATCTGATTTCCAATGCGATGTTAAAGCACAAAAAACAAGAAACAAACAAAAAAGGACATACAATCACTCCCAAACAACAGTAGAATCAGGATGAAGTTAAATACAGTTCTGACAATAAATATTATAATGAGGATCTAACATGTTTAGAATCATATATAATTCTGAACAGCATGCTGGAACAAATCACCATGGAAATTCATATTTCTAGAAAGCTGGAAATGCAGATATGTTTATACAGCATAGCTAAAGTATGTTTATTCATCTCCTGTGCAGCTTTAAGGAAGATAAAAGTCATTCATCAAAATAAAGTTTTAAAAAAGTATTATTCATTCATTTAATAGAAGGAACTCTATGGTGGGTAAATACTGAACATTGCCAAAAATAAACACCATCTGCATAATCTTACATTAATTCATTACTGAAAAATCTCTGAATCTCTGGACAGAGCGGAAAGTGACTGAAGGAAATGAATGAATAAATTTGTTCATCACAAACAGAGGAAACAAAAAGGACACAATGGATTAAAATCTCGCAAAAGCCAGTATTTTATGGTGTAGTATAGTTACTGTGATGTTAGTTCTGAGCACAAATTAGGAAAAAATCTAATGTTTTGTGGTTATTTCTGCTGTGTTAGGTGAGCAAAAGCTCTGACGACGTAAAATCTTATGGGCATCTGGACCTCTAAACAATGAAATAAATAAATACATTTAAAAAATCCCCTTTACACAGTGAATAACAACACGATTTGGTGTCTCCAACACATAAGACACACTACCTTAAAGGGGTATTACACGTATTTTTCAACATTTCTGTGTCTATCAGTTGTTGAGATGTAAACAAAGTCATTCAGAGTGGTGTGATGTTAAATGGTTCATTGTAGAGAAACTTACAGGCTCTGATTTCTTTACAGTGGTGAGGATGGGAACCAGGGGTCGTGATGTTGACAACGCAAATATAGCCATTTTATTTACTTTACTATGCAAAACCTCAAGTGATCCTACAAGGTTTTATATGTAATGCTGATTATGGTAAAGTAGTGATAAATCTGATAAATTTGTTTTGTTTTATCTCAAAACTATCTTAAACATTCGTCTTGGACACGAGGCAACATATTCATAACCGTTCCCTGTAACAACTTAGTGAGGGAGCTTTCAGTGGCATTAAGACGTCTGGTTCCTATCACCACCACTGTGAACAATTCTGACTCAGAATTTCACATTAAGCCGCACTTAATGACTTTGCTTACATGTTAAACATTTAATAATGTAGAAATCAGTGGAACCTCTCTTTAACAATTTGCTGCAGAGTGTTTGGCCTCATGAAACACACCAGAACTCATCAGTTGATTAGCAAAGCCTTAAGGAGGTTCAGAAGAGGGGAAATGCTAATCTCTGTAGAGCTGTGGCTTGAAAGGAACCCAGTTTGACACCCCTGTTCATATATATGTTCTAGCCCATATTATGTAGTTTATTTTATATATAAAATGATAGGTTGATCTGTATTATCCCTCATTTAAAAACATCGTCCAGACTGAAACACTCCCCATAAAGTCTATGTGAATGGGCGGAGCTAAACTGCTGTAGGCTTAGTAGGCTGATATTTGTAAATGCTACATGCATATATAAAAACAGGCTGTTTTTTTGCAGTTTAGTTTCCAATATATGGGCTGGAATGACTGCAGAGTGAAGGGTTTTAAAACTTTAACAATATTAACATACTACTCCAAACTCTTTCATTAAAAAAGGGAGGGAAAATTCAGTTTTCCGGACCCATTCTTTTTTTTTTTTCCTTTCTTTAAAGTTCTTTTGTTTGTTATTTTCCAAACTACATAGTGTTGCAGTACACATAACAAAGCAGTACGTTTCCTGTCATCACTTGCTTTAATTCAACTCCACAAGTCAAACCTGGAGTCATTCTCTCAAATCACAAACCCTTATATTAATATCAAACTTATTCATGTATACATTCTGTACACTTCCCAACAACAACAGTGTGCATTAAAATCTCCATTCAACTTCAACATAACGGTTAAGAAAAACTTTGGTTTCTGTCCGATATAAAGAAATTAGACTACATTAATGTGACAGATAATTAAATATTGCAGTGCATGAAGAAAAATGCTGATTTTCCTGCTATGTGTGTACATGATTTAGTGTACCACAAAAAGAATCCCTAATTGTCCTTCCCTCTAGTAGTGGGAGGTATTATATCAAATATATCACTGTATAATTAGAATTTGATGACTTCGATATAGAAAAATAAAAACCCTTTTATATGCTTAAGTAAACCTATCTTTGTAGACTAACAGTGGCCTGTTTTTTCTGGGATGTGAACAATATCTAAACCTATGCCAGCATTGCTTTCTAACTCACTTTCTCACAAAAATAGTGCAAAACGTTCAGTCATGTCTGAATTTCTACTAGGCCGAAGTTGGCTTATTTTTCAGCTTTTTGTCTGAATTTTCCATTCCACCTTAAATGGAGATGCAGTTACATTCTGGCACCAGTACAAGCGCTTGAATGCAACTGCTGCATCATTTAAGGAGGCATGGGAAATTCAAATAAGAAGCGAACTTCACCTCTGTCGAATTTAAGTCATTTGTCTCATGTGCGTCCCACAGTCGCACTTCCGAGCATCAGACATCGCTGGAATTGAAAATATTATAGTTATACTTCACTAACAAGCTTGTTTTGCAGAAAAAGCCATAAGACCAAGACATCTAATGCAGCTGACCAGGTCAGGCAGCTCCTGTCTGGTGTCCATGCCAGGCTAAGACTAACCCCAAAAGACCAGCCGTTCCTGCTGCCTCAAAGACAAACTACTTCAGATGAAACGGACTAGACAGCAGGAGGTGATTGAGGGTCTGCTGCATTTTCATTTTCCTTTTCATTTGAAAGGAGACTATATCATGTCTGGCTCAGCCATTCAGCAAAACGGGCTAACGTTAGCGGGGTCTGCACTGCTTGCACGTTGCATGGCATTTCAACTGGTATGATATGTTTAGAAAAACATTCTTGAGGCTCATTACAAAGATATTTTATAGGAGTGGTATAATATATTGTTTGTCAATCATTATCATGATACTTGCTTTCGCAATACTGATATCGCGGAAGGCTGCAATTAGCAAACGAGCCTCTAACCAGTCAGGTCCAGACGAGTTTCTGTGGGCATTTTGATGAATCAAGGTATTCATGTAATCCAACAACTGGCTAAAAATAATGCACACCAATGTTTAACCATGTTACATCACTTATAATGTGCTTTAAACGTATTGCGCAGCATACTGCAATCACAATATGTAGAAAATAAACACAACATGATGTTTTGTCCAATTCGTGCAGCCCTGGTATGTACTTACTAACTTTGTACTGCATAAATAATGAAAAACATTTTTTTTCATTATTGAAAATGGCATAATTGTATAAATAGGAATATAAAAAGATAGAAATAGAAATATAATAATGTCATTTTAGGGGGGTATTTTGCATTTTGTTGCCATATGTAAACAGTATGTGCCAATGAAATTGCAATCTTTAGTACATACAATGGGAGTAAACCAATTCATTGCCTGTGTAAAAATAAATGTGTATAAATGTTTTAAGAATATAGAAAGCAATACAAAAATAATTATACTGATAATGTGAAAATAGCAGTGTCTAAAGTGTCCAATGGAAGTTTTTTTTTTATTTACTCCCATTACATGCACTCAAATTGAAGGTCCATTGCCACATGCTGTTGCTGTATGGTAACAATTATAGCTTGTCATTGTGCAAAACCCACTAAATCTAAACTGGTTACTCAGACATCCTTCAGACTCTCAAAGGAAAATAAACGCTTATCTTTTAGTCGGGCTGGAAAAAAGTTAAGGATTAACAGTGAAGGGTTCATAACTGTTGTTAATATTTCCTGTGAAGATTTATTTTTTGTGGATAGGTGCTGCTAAATCAGTTGGTCCAGTACAAGATTAAGCTTTTAATGTATATTAAAACAACGTTTTGTGTGACTTGCCTGGCTCACCTTTTCAGGCCTGTTTAACACCACTCTGAAAAACGTAAGGCTGCTAGCTTCAGCACTATACTCTCATGGTTAGAGTTGATGCTTAAAGAAGCAGATTTTGAAGACTTACCACTTGAACATTTTGAAGCTGAATAGTAAAATCATATTGCTCCTTTGAATTAAAAGGTACATGATAAAAGTAAATGAATGCTGTGATGAATATCTTGTTGGCCCAGATGATTACAGGATAATAGTCAGAATGGAGAATGATGGAGAGCAATAGTGTTTAGAGTGCTGAGTGAGGTGTAAATGAGGTCACTGTTTGTTTGCTGTAGAGTCCGGAGCTGGACTGGTTACGGCAGGCTGAGCAAGTGTGGAGAACCAGGAGGACATGGCAGACTTAGCACTGGTTAAAGCTCCTCCCACTGACTGACCTACAGCAGGATATACACATATAAAAGCACTGTACAAATGTATTTACAGTACATTTCAAAATACTGGAATGAGTGTTTTAAATAATATAAAACACCCATGGAAAGAATTATGTTCTGTTGATTTTCTAGGTGAAAATGTGCAAAATACTTAATAAAATCAGCGCAGTAAACAAATTCATTTTTCTCATTCGTACTCACCTACAGCTTTCCCAGTCTGCACCACACTGCGGCTGGTGGTGATCACGGCGTTCCCTAGCTTCTTCCCACGCTCACTGTTCTGCACCGAACTATAGAGACACACACATTCTCATGATTTTCACACCCCTATAGCCCAAAGTCACATGTTGCAGTTGACATGAAGTATATTAATTCATGCTGTAATATAAAGGATAATTAAAATTAATAATGAAGAGAGATTCAACATTAAATAAGTTGTCTAAACTCTGTATGCCACCAGAGGGCAGCATAGAGCCAATGTCTAACATTTGGTCAGAGTTTCTTATCTGTTTAGTCCACAGAAATAGAAAGACTACTGCAGCCGTCGAAAGGCTACGACACACTGAACAAGAAGCATCACAGAAATAAACAAGAAGCTCAAATTCATTTTAAACTCTACTTGTATAGATTTAATAAAAGAAACTTGTATCCACTAACTAGCTCATGATAAACACACTGTTTTAAGCTAAAAGATGTGAGGTGAAATAGTTTGTGACTTGACTAGGCTAGTAATGTTGGTTGACATAACAGAAAAGATTAGCATTTGTCTGTTTGTCTTAAGAGATTTCAGACTGACTGCCTTTTTCTCTGTAAATTTCAAGACGCAACACCTACTAACTCTTACTGTGGTCTGGTTCTGGATTTAATTTTATGCATGAACAGAGGGTGCTGAGCTCGGAGACATTGAGCAGTGCTGGACTGGCAGAGCATGTCGATGCCGAACAGAGCAGCACGTCGGCATCATTCTTTAAAAACACTGGATTCAAAGTTTTATTGTGTCTCTGTGGTCAGCAGTCAGACTGAACCAAATACACTTTATTCTAATAGACTAAACCTTTAATAACAGCTGTTTTACTTCAGAACTTACTGAGAAAGGCGCAGCTTCACATCAGCCACACTGTATTGGCCTTGGAATGGGTGTCTGACAGGAAAGAAGAGAAAAATTATTCCATATTTTAAAACCTCTTTTTTTATTTTTTCCATAAGGCAAAGGTACATAAACAAAAACTACACAATTATTACAAAGCACAATAGACTCCATGAATGATTACAAAAGATGTAGTCATAGTCATCCCGAAACCAAATAAGTTTTGGCTAGAAGAGTAAAAACTTCATATTTTTTCCATTTTCTAAAATATGTATTTTATCATATAATACTTTACAAATCATTTTAAAGGCAATTATGATTTAGTGGTTAAAAACACTTTCTTTTAATTACACAAATGCCCAAAGGTTTTTGTATCATGACTTTGTCGAGGGACATGTGCCCTCAACTTTTTGAAATTATGTGAGATAATTTTGGGGGTCCTGGGATGGCTGTTGAAAGCAGAGTTGAAAAATAGCCTTCAGATATCAATTATTACATAGTTGTCCATTACAATATAAAACTTTGACTATACCCAAGTAATTACTTGTTTAAATAGTTTTATATTTGAATTGCTGTTTGTGTAGTTAGTTGCCCGCCCACTTGTCGTTCAAATACAGCTTTTAAATGCCTAGCACTGATTTTGGCAAAATCATTGACGTGATCATTAGAGGACTACACTGCATGCAGAAGAACTGAGGTTAAATCAACAAGATGTAATGTAGAAGTATGAGGGCAAGAGGCTACAATCTCGGAGGAGCTGGGATTGTTGTTTAGGGTCAAACCTGAGACAAATAAGCTAAATGTGATTAACTGCAATTATACAAAATAATGAATTATTTTAATAGTATAACATCCATATATAATCTACACAGCAGTAACGTAAAAAAAATGAAGGACTTTCCCATTTTTTCCTATCAGGGCATCATTCCTATTGGCCCTGCCTGTATAATGTTAATTAATGAGATAAACCCCTGACCCCTGTGTCATTCTGTCTGTGCTGTGGATGGACGTACCCTGGAGTAATTTCTGCCATGGCTGGATGCTTGTTGCTGAACCACACTCTGTAATTGTGTGTAATCTTCCAGGCGGAGATGAAGGCAGAGCCATAATCTGCCAGCAGCTTCTCATTATCTGGGCAACAAAAAACAGAGCAGCTAAAATGAACTTAGGGCAGATCAGAATGTGACTGATATGAATTTAGTGGCTGATATTAGTACTGATTTTAAGGCTGGCTTTACACAGTGAAACTATAATGCTTCTAGCTGCATGTTTCCTGCAATATCACTTCAGTGCAACCTGACAGTTACATGAAGCAATTAAAAAAAAAACAAAGTTGCACACAACACATCCATTTACCCCACTAGTTAACTAAATGAGCAGCTTGTATTAACAGATATACCATATTGTTCTTACTATATCCATTACCATTCTTTTATGCTATATTTATATATCTGTATCTTACATATCCATCTAAGTTTCTTTGTTATATATTTGAGTTTTTTTTAATCTGCTGTGTATATGTTAAACTTTTGAAAATGATTGTTTAAACAGCACTTGTGGTTATATTGCATTAAATGCCTTTCTCATACTGTCCTACAAGCACAACAAGTTAATCAAAGAACTCATCTCTGTTTCCTCTTCTGTAGTTTGTTTTACTTTGTATCCCAAATGAATCTGAGTGTAAAATTAAAGGGCATCAGAAAGGAGAAAATGAATCTAGTCACGTAAATAGAAGCATTAACAGTGGCATCATCAGCTGGCTTGTTAACACAGCTGGTTACAGAAATGTTAGTTTCGAGAAACTCACATTTGTTGTCATGGCTAAAAATGAAAACTACCTATCTTGAGTCGGTTTAATCTTCTGTTTTATCTTCTTATCCACAAACAGTCTATGTTACCCACTGATTCAGTGAAAACAACAATTTCAAAGTATGTCGTTCGGCGTGTTCACGTGATGCATTATCGCCATTTTGATATGTTGTTACAGTAAACCTGTTCCATGAAGTTGAGACCCTTGCAGCTGCGTTTCAAAAGAGTTGCAGGACACTTTACATCATGAAACTATTAAAGACTTCATGAATGTTTCACTGTGTAAAGCCAGCCTAAGCGGTCAAAAACCACAACATTGGTTAAAATGATTAAAAATTATTATTATAATTCCTGACATTATTTTGCCTTTAAACCAAAAAAGAACATTATCAGAAAATATTCAGCCAATATTGACCGCCAAACCTATACTGGTCAGACTCTACTGTTATTACAGAGATGATGGGCACAGTATGGCTACAGCCTATACTGTAGTTTAGATACTAAAAGCAAGTATAAATACAATGTGAAGTGTTAGCATGTAAGTATTAGCACGTACCTTAGTGTAAATGCTAGTCATAAGGGTGTGAAATAAGTCTTAGCATTCAAGTATTAGCATGTGCTAGCATTAACGTATTAGGATGTACCTTGCTGTAGTGTATATGCTAATGAGCAAATACAATGTGAACTGAGATTTAGCATTAAAATATTAGCATGTACCTTGCCACAGTGTAGATATGCTAAAAGAGAATGTAAACGCAGTGTGAACTGAGTGTTTGCACTAAATTATTAGCCTGTACCTCACTGTAGTGTAGATGCTAGCTGTGAGTGTAAATACGGCCTGAACTAAGAAGCGTTAGTGTGTTAGCATGTACTCTGACGTAGTGTGAGGGCTAATAGTGCGTAAATACAGTGTGAACTGAGTGTTAGCTTTAAAGCACTAGCATGCACCTTGCTGTAGTGTAGATGCTAACAGAGAGTGTAAATACAGAGCGAACTGTGCTCTAATCCACTCGTCTCCTCCCTCCCAGCCTGTTCCATCCAGAAACACATCCTCCCTGTTCTCCGTGACGTGTTTGAGCAAGAAGTCGGAGAAGCGCAGGTCCGCTGTGGATAAACTCAGCATCCTGCGCAGCTCTGGATCATCTACATGGATACGAGCCTCCTCCACCTACACAACGGCACAACAACTTTAAATTGGGGTAACAGAGGATAATACACTAATACACTACTACAATACAATAATACACTACAAATAGTCTTCGGGATTGCTGCTACTACTGCTTTTGAACACTGATGTACTTTTGTTCATTTTAACAGGTAAAAGTATGGCGGTGTCAAAAACTGCATAAGCATCTGTTTGAGATTTGCTTAATAAATCAGCACGGTTTGACCCTGTTTACACCTGGCTGTTTTTTAATACGTCTTGTAAATCAGGATTATATCTGGATAGAGATTATCCATATAAAAATGCAGGTGTAAATGCATTCAAGACGCATTTGAAACAGAGGTCAATCTGATCGCTCAAAGCCCTTCATTTTAGCCGGATGTTATTTAAGTGTAAAAACCAAAACCCCTCCCAGTACTGTGATGGCTCCTCCCTCTACTGTTCTGCTTCTAATTCAAACCCAAATCCAACAGCATGTGAAATGCTACTAAAACAGAAAGCAGGAAAAAACAATATTTTACATTTTCACTCATGCACCTAATTGTTTTTGTAAATACACGTTCATTTCAAAAGTGATGTCTGCACAACACTTTCCAAAAAGTTGGGACGGTAGCATGTTTACTGTGCTACATCACCTTTCCTTTAACAACTCTTAATAGTCATTTGGGGACTGAAAACGCAAATTAATCCAGTTTTAAAATAGTTCCTTTTTTTTTTTTGCACAGTCTTCAGCTGTGCAACAGTTCCAGGCCTTTGTTGTTGTGGTTTGCACAGTCTTCCAATGAGAGGCCAGTCTGGACTGCAAGAAAGCCAGTTTAGCACCCGCACTTTATTCTTTAAACATGTACAGAATGTGGCTTGGCATTGTCATGGTGAAATAAGCATGAACATCCTTGAAAAAGACGTTGTCTAGAAGACAGTCCCAAAACGTGTTCAGCATTAATGGTGCTTTCACAGATTAGTGTACCCACTAATACCCTCCCATAACCATGACAGTGGTTAGACTCGTCAGACCACAACACACGTTTCCACTGTGAATCAGTCCGTTTCAGAAGAGCTTGAGTCCAGAGAAGTCGGCGGTGTTTCTGGATGCTGTTGTCATATGGCTTCTGCTGTGCATAATACAGTCTTAACTAAATAACAAGGGTTTATCAACGTACTCCCAAGCCCATGTGGTGCTATCATCTAAAAGCCATATGAGGGTTCTGTGGTTTTCAACCTTGACATTTTTCCAGATTCCCCAAATCTTTTGATATTACTATGTACTGTAGAGGGTGAAACACCATAAATCCCTGTTATCACTCACTGAGTAACACTATTCGTAAATAGCTGGACAAACTGCTGATCCATATTTTTGGTAAAGTGAAGAGCCTAGACCCATCATTGCCGATGAAGGACTAGGCTTTTCCTGGCTTCCTATACCGATGACAGATGTGAGCGTGCTGGAATTTTAATTCCACCTGAGCTCCTGCTCTTCTGCATTCCCCCAGGTATAATTACACCCCAGACAGGTAAAGCTGCTTCAGCTCAGATCAGCTCTCTAAACTTCTCTGCAAGGCAGCTGCTTCAGGTTTGGCCTGATAACATGACGACACACTTCACTGGCCATAAACAAGAGAGCAACTACAATGCATGGGTGATATCAAATTTCTATTGATATGATAAACGTTGCCTTTTCTTTACTTCTTTTCCTTTATTTTGAGGGAAAAAAGTAGGACAACCCCTAAAGGTGTTATTTGAGGTGGGGAAAAATGGACAAAGTAAACTACCACTTAGTTGCCTACTGCTTGTTTCGCTATTTAAAAAGTTCTTAAAAGCTTTTATACTGGAATTAAAGAGTTGTTAAGGGCTTTATTTCTTTGGCAATTCAACAAAACAAAGAGCTGAAGGTCTGCTTAAAAAGCTTAAAACAGGCTATTACTATGGCTCTGTGGGCGCCAGCATGTTAAAGTGATGTTGCGGAACTACAACACTGAAGTCTTGAAACAATAGGAAATAAGTTGGAGTGCTGTTTAAGTGAATATTTTTCCCACTCTGAAAATTCCCAGTTCCTAGTCATGAATACGGTATTATCCTTGCCATGTGTTCGGAAAAAAAAAGACCTCTGTGCTGGTTGTAGATGTTAGAGGTGGGCGATATGGTCAAAAATAATACTGTTAATGCCTCAAGAAATGTTCATGATACATGTCACAATATTTATTTCAGACTTCTGATCAGTTGGAACTATATCAAGTTAAACTGGACTAATTCCGCTCTCTTTATAATGAAACATGCAGTTGGTCAGTGTTCCAGTACTGACGATATCCACGATGTGCTCAGAAAAGCATTAAATTCATTTATCACGATAATGATACATACTGTCATACTGCCCAGCCCTACTGGACATTGTCTAGAATTCACTGACTGACAGTCATGTTTTAAGGGGAATTCCATTTCAACACAGTTCTACTACTGATATGTGTACAGACATGTCAGTAACATCTCCACCTCCATCCTCACGTCTGGATTAAACCTTGCTATATTTAGGGTGGGCATGGACAGCTGGCATGTTTATGATTTTATGTCCATATTTTACAGACATTTCCTCTTTAACTAATGAAATGTATACAAGAAAACAACATTTTATGAATTTAGTATATAGTAAACTATGAACTTGATGTACTTTATGAATTCACCAGAGGGAGAGGAAGTAAGAGATGGGTGGAAAAGAGTGAAGAAACAAAAAAATTAAAGAAGAAAGAAAAGTTAATTCTGGAGAGAAAGGGACTCACGTCTATAACAGCATCACTGAGGTGTCTCTGCTGACGAAAGAGGATGTTGGTTGCCCCGGCAACAAAACCTCGTACTCTCACATCAGACAGAAGGTGATGCTGCTGCAGGGCCATGTAGGGCAGGCACAAGTAACCCTGAAGACAACAAGATCAATTAGGAAGTAGAAGTCACCGCAGCTCTAACTGTGCAAAAGTCAATCTTTTTATATATATATATATATATATATATATATATATAAAATGACAACTATGCAAGGGGATGTGCTGTAACTTGAAATAAAACCACAGCTAAAAACTACCAGAGGTTCAGATGTTTTGAATCACCTGTTGAGAGGAGATGATGTACATTCTTAGCTAAAAGGGTTCTACATAGTACTGAAAAAGGGTTTAACTTGCAACAATAGCAGAACCCATTTTTGTTGCTATATAGAACCAGTTTAAAAGTGTTCTTTAAGAAACCATATAGGTTGTCCATCATAGAGAAGAACCATTTGACCATGCATAACCATTTATGCAAATAGCTCTGTGGGGGTCCATGGTTGTATACAGAACCACTGCCTTTACTAGAGAAACCATTAAAGAACCATTTTTTAAGAGTGTAGGGACAAACTAGAACAATCTCCACAGAAACAGCAGAAAGGAAGATCTTGATATACAGCAGGTTTAAAAGAAACTCATAAGCAAGATCCTGTAGTTAATGTGGAATGTAAAGGGGAATTACACCAATTTTGAATTTCTGCATAATTCTGTCACTGAGATAAACACTCAGTTGGAGTGTTTTGATATAAAATGGTTCACTGTAAGGAGACTTTTTTTCCTCCCACATTTTGAGGCTGTAAGTGGCCTCTGCTGTTCACAGCTGCAACGGCATAGCTGGAGTAAATGTAATGTAGAATGAATAGACAGCTATGTTCTGTAAAAGATGCAATCTAGCACCAGAAGTTTAACAAGTTGCCCCCAGACATGTATTCTCATTACGAGAGCCCTTCTGGTCCAGTGAGACTAGCCAATGTGTAACATATTCAAACTAATTCATTGCTTTGGGCTTTGAGTTTAGCAGAGGAACTGCTATTCTGAATGCTTCTTCTGCACAGCCCCTTCTGTTTTTATGTCAACATATTTTATTCCTATAATTAGTCACTGTCTGTGACTAATCGACAGTTGTCAATAGGGCCAAAAGTGTGAATGCCCCTGGTTAAGTTACATGTTTTGTTGATTTTATAAGTAAAAATAAATGAACACATCCTTTATAGACAACACACTTCTGCACATGTATGTTCTATAATGCACAACTGCTGATTACTTGCTGAATTTAACATATTAGAAATATAAATATAACAGAAATTCTGGTCAGCACATTTAACATTTTACATTATATTTCTTTCCAATAGCAAGTAAATAAAAATTATGCAGCAAAATGTATTTTAATATAATTTCAGTTCCCTGTAGAGGATGTGTTAACTTATTTTAACTTAGAAAATCAAGAAAATGTGTCATTTGACTGGGGTTGTTCAAACTTTTGCACACGACTGTATTAGTGGATCAGTCTATGCAACCCCTAGAGGGAGTGAGTGTGCGTGTGTGTGCGCATGTGTACCTTAGTGAATACTGCTAGTGGTAGTCCGTACTGGTCCTCCTCCAGTCCAGACACCAGCCCCTGGATCAGCTGACCCTGTCCTGCTACAGACTTGGGCTGCACTGTGATTGGCTCACCGGATTCTGTCTCTAGATGCTTCACTGATCCCTCTGATCCCTCCCCAGCCTCCAACACACTCGGGTCCAGCGTCTCCCAGTCACTCTCAGAGGAATCCGGCGATGTGTGTGATGGGGGGTGGGGCTGGAGGCGGTCCTGAGGGCTAGCGGAGGGCTGTGATTGGTCAGCCACAGATGTATGGTTGTCTGAGTGGTCAAAAGCACTAGACTCACCATCTGTGGCATCAATAATGTCAGTGTTAGAGTCAGTTTTAGGGTTGAGTTCTTCAGCGCTGGGGCTGATCCTTGCTGGGTCAAGACTTTCTGGGGTTTCTGATACGCTGCTCTTACAGTGGTAGTGGGAGGAGTCGGCCAGGCCGTGCTCAATCATGCCTGCACATACACACACATTACATATATTAATATGCATCCACACAGCACATACGGTCATCTGTAAAAGGAAGGTTTATTGTCTTGATTGTATTAACTTACTGTGTTGCCAAAGCATATCTGTGTTTTATCATACTTTATTAATACTTACTGATGCATAAACAAAAACTAATGAAAAGTAATCCAGAACAAATAAACATAATCTGATTGTACATGCTGTCAAATGAATCTTACTCTGATTATTTTGATTTTTGTCATCAGATTATGTCCAGATTACATGTAGTAATCTGTAGACAATTACAGGCAAAAGAACTCATTCACAGGGCTGCACTTTTCAGTGTAAAGTGAATTTTAATCTGACAGATTGTTTATTGTTGAAATGTGTCTCTCACCAGGGAATAGAGAGAGGACAGTCATTAGAGTTCCCACTAATCTGTTAACAGGAGACACATAAAACAGCACCTGCAGGGAGAAAGAGGTTTAAACACATTCTTAAACAAAGACAACTTCATTATACTGAGCAACTTCTGCATAACTGAAACTGAAAATCATCCCACACCTTCTTTTCCAGCAAGATCAGCTTGAAGAGGATTAGAACCTGTAACAGAGAGTTTTGAATAAGATTTCTAACGTTTCTAATATATTTTAATATTTTAAATGTTTTAAATACACTTAAGAATAAAATATTTAACTTATTTTAATTAAAGCCAGCTCTTTTTGGACCAGATATTTCTGCTAACCAGTTTCACAGCTTTCCAGTAGCATTCATACTATGTCTTGTTCAGAGCAGAGGCAGGGAATAATAAAATGGCTTTCAAATGATGTTTACTGAAACTATTTTCTTTCTAACTAAAAAGACCAGACATTGTCATTCTAACTGATAAACATGTATATGAATGTCAGAGAGTGAAGGAATCAGCAGTGGGATTCATATTATTTTGTTTACAAAATCATAAGTAACTACATTACAGTTTGAGAGACGTCATCAGTAATTTGTAATTAGTAATTACTCTTGTTTAGTAACTACCCCAATACTGTGTATCATATACTTACAGTATAGTAACATGTTAAAATGTGGAACACAAACATGCCCCATTTAAATAGCATCCTTACCTTGTGTTTAAAGTGCAGTATTAAATCCCGTGGAGATAATCCTGCAGAGAAAAAGAAATCGCAGAGCTGAGTGTGAAGCAGGGTGTGAAACAGGGTGGTTGTACAGATGAATTTGTCCATTAGAACATCAGTGGTCAAGAAGACTCTACAGTGATTTTTGAGCATGGTACTCAAACCATAGCTGCTGTGGAACCAATCCGTCTACCCAATCATATACGAAGTAGGTTTAGGGCTCATACTTTCTTGTATTCCATTTTTACCCATTAATTGTACTTAACCACTGTGTGGTTTAATGTACTAAATATAATTGTGATTCATTTTAACCCTTTAGAAATAAGCAGGCTGTTTTTGTTTCACCACAAATCTAAAAAAAATTACACTTTTTTTTTTTAGCAGTAAAGCTACAAGGATAACATAATAGGCTTGAGCTTAATGTACTGTCCATCGCCAATAGTGCCCATCAGCTGGATGATTTAAATGTCCAAAAACATGCTGTCCTTGGCTTTAAGATGCTAACTGTATTTGTCTCACGATCTATTTTCTTTTATTGTTTAACGTTAATCTATGTCCTTAGTCAGCCTTGATATATTGCCTAGCTTTAGAACAGCGCAAAGTGAACTGTTTTTACCCATCAGTTGTCGTGCTTGTTAAACTGATAAAGTTTTGCCGCAGCCTGGCTGAAAAAGTGAGGCACGTTATGAGTGCAAAATATGACAATGAAGGCCCCAAACAACTGCACAGCTGAGGACATGTATAAGTAAAAAATGGCATTTTCAAGACTGGATCAATTGGCGTCTTCAGTACCAAAATATTTATTAAGTGTTGTTAAAAGGAAAGGTGATGTAACACAGGGGTAAACACACTCCTGTCCCAACTTTTTTGGAACGAGTCGCAGGCATCATATTTGGAATGAGCATATATTAACAAAAAAAGGATAAATGTCATAATGTAAAACATCTAATATCATGCTTTTGCCCTGTTAACAACTTAATACAGGTCAAACAGAATTTACTTATCACTGCTTTCTTTTTTATTAGCATTTCACACAGTCCCAACAATTTTGGAATTGGGTTTGTAGATGTCTAATTCACCCAGAAGACATTAGTGACCACCCAAAAATTTCACTGGGTAAAGCCAGGCTTAAACTATCCAATGTCCTGCCCCAAATGCTCTTCATCAATATGTATTGTTTAATTTTACTTTCTTTTAAAATGATGCGCGAAAAAAAAAAACTTACTGGCTTTACTTCAGTGGATCTTTTAGCAGCCTTTGGATACGTGAATGAAGGATGTAAATTACAGAAGGTGAGGAATAATGATAGAATTTACCTAGATACACCTGAGAGCCCTCGAGTGTGGTGCCTCTTAAAGAGCCATTCATGTGATCATATAGTTCCTACAAAGAAAGGGAGGAAACAAAGATGAAAAAAGGAACATTTACAGATCACAATCGGCGCACAGTATTAAATCTTACCTTTAGGATGGATATCTGAGAGAAATCTTTCTCCTCAAAGTAGGCATGTGTGATGAGCTGGAGTTTGGCCTGGATTAGACCATACAGAGGCTGCAGGAGAAACAGGCAGATACACCGATCAGGCATAACATTATGACCACCTCCTTGTTTCTACGCTCATTGTCCATTTTATCAGCTCCACTTACTTTATAGGTGCACTTTGTAGTTCTACAGTTACAGACTGTAGTCCATCTGTTTCTCTGATACTTTATTAGCCCCCTTTTACCCTGTTCTTCAGTGGTCAGGACCCCCATGGACCCTCACAGAGCAGGTACTATTTAGGTGGTGGATCATTCTCAGCACTGCAGTAACACTGATATGGTGGTGGTGGTGTGTTAGTGTGTGTTGCGCTGGTCTGAGTCACAATATGCGCATTAAACGCAAAGTAATTTTACTGTGGTATTAATTACCAGATATGCTATAAGGTCAAAAGTATGTGGACACTGACCTTAATTATTCATTTTAGGGGTTTTAGCCACACCCTTTGTTAACAGGTGTATAAAATCAAGCACATAGCCTTGCAATCTTCATAAACATTGGCAGTAGAATCGGTCATACTGAAGAGCTCAGTGGCTTTAAACGTGGCACTGTCATAGTATGCCACTAGTCAGTTTGTGAAATTTCTGCCCTGCTAGATCAGCCCCAGGCAACTGTTATGCATTATTATTGTGAAAATGAAGCAATAACAGCTCAGCCACAAAGCGGTTGACTATACAAACTCACAAAGTGGGGGTGCTGAGTGCTGAAGCGTGTAAAACAACTCAGTTCCAAACTTCCTCTGGAAGCAACATCAGCACAATAACAATGTGTCAAAAGCTTCATGAAATAGGTTTCCACGATTACTGTGTGCAATGCCAAGCGTTAGCTGGATTGGTGTATAGCACGCCACCATTGAACTCTGGAGCAGTGGAAACGGGTTCTCTGGAGTGATGAATTATGCTTCACTATCTGGCAGTCTGATGGGCGAATCAGGGTTTGGTGAATGCCAAGAGAGCGCTACCTACCAGAATGCATAGCACAAACAGTAAAGTTTGGTAGAGGTGGGATAACGGTCTGGCTATGTTTTCAGGGTTTGGGCCCCTTAGTTCCAGTGAAAGGTAATAGTAATGCTACAGAATACAAAGACATTTAAGACAATTATCATTTTCCAGCTTTGTGACAACAGTGTGGGCGAGGCCTTTTCCTGTTCCAGCACGACTGCGCCCCCTGTGCACAAAGTGAGGGCCATAGTTTTTAAGAGTTTGGTGTGGAGGAACTCCAGCAGCCTGCTCAGAGCCCTGACCTCAACCCCACTGAACACCTTTGGGATAAAATGGAATGTCAACTGCAAGCCAGGCCTTTTCATCTAACATTGGTGCCTGACCTTACAAATGTTCTTTAGACTGAATGGGCAGAAATTCCCCACAGACACACTCCAAAATCCTGCCCAAATGCCTTCTAAGAAGGTGGAGGCTATTATAGCCATACCAAAGGGACCAACTCCATATTAATGCCCATAGTTTCAGAATTGGATGTCCAAAATAAACACACGGGATATCAATATTGGTCCACAATTCCCAATATCGGTTCATCCCTACTTTTGATACATTCTTTAGTACTGTAACTCAATGTTTATAAATGAACAAAACCTGGAAACACTGTTGTGTGTGACTTACCACTCTGCTGAGCACACACACACTCTTCTGCACAGTCTCCCTGGTGACGTCAGCCTGTCGCACCTTCAGAGCCTGGAACACAAAGCAACACTTTATCTGTCGATCATCCGTCTATATAAAAAGCACTACTGAAAGGCTCCTAAAGGGTAAAACTGTCTAAGCCATGTTTTTATTCCAAACAAAGCAGGGTCTCACCTGATTCCACCTGTTTAATCAGTTGATCTCAATCTTTAAACATCTGATCTGGTGTGCTCCTGCTTTGGTAGAATAAAAACCTGCAGCAATAATGGCTGTTTGTCTATATAAATTGACCCCCCTGGTCTAAATGTTAGCCTCATCGTTAATCCCTTGCCCTCTCTGAGCATGTAGGATGACCATCAACATAATTAAAATCATCATGTTTCTTTATTGGAATTTTGTTTAAAATAGCGAGTACTGAACTGCGAGTGTAGTCACATCCCTAACAAAGAAGACTTCAAATATAATATAAATATGTATGCAAAACACATACGCACAGTACTAAGCAAAAGTCAGAGAATACCCTCTCATTTATTTTCATTTCCAGCCATTCCCAGTCAAAACAGCCATTAAGTACAAGTTATTCATTTTCAGCATCAGGACAAAAAGCACAAAACATATTGAACCAAAAATATACAAAATACACAGAAGCCTCAACAATTAAACAAAATAACAGATTTTTCAGTATTTAGTATCTCCACCCTTTGGCTTATTATAGAAGAAACCCACAAATGTGAGAATTTCTCTGTTAAAAATGATGATAATCACTGTATTATCTTAGTTTAATGTTGTTTAATGTATTATGATCCTTTTCTTCATAACAAGCATTGAAGAAAAAATCACTAGCAGTATGCTCATGTTTCGGTAGCTAGTGAGGGAAATTTCCCGTTGAGAGAAAATCCGAACGAGAAGCTGGCAAAAAGCTGACTTCAGCATCATATCACTGAAGAATTAGGGGCTGAACTTTACCCTCCTCTGCAGTCACTGCAGACTGGCAGGGTCCCATACAGAGCACCACTAGTAGCCTGTTAATGAAGTAATGTTCTTTTTTTATTTGAGGGTCCCATTTTGTAGGGAAGATTTCAACCACCACCCCCTGTAACTCAGTTCCAAGGGACAAAGTGACACTTGAAAACATGGGGTAGGGGTAAAAATAAGACATGGGCTTTGCATATTTTTTATAAGAAATCTGCAGGGATATTTTTTCACACCTCCAAAGCTCAATCTTAGAAGTTGGTTGCATTTTCTTTTCTCTAACATAACTACACACAAATGACTTCTCATTCCACAGCGCTGAAGTCTGGACTCTGGGGTGGTCAGTCCATTGTTCTGAGAACATCAGCAACTTCAAGTATGTGTTGATCTTCTCAGCGTGCACTTGGGGTCATTATCTTGAAGTAGAATTCATTTCTTCCCAATCAGACATTTTCCATACGGTACTGCATTATGAAAAAATGTTTTCATGATTCATGATTATCAGTCACAAACATATCACCACCTCCAGATGTTGTTATTCATTCTCAAACCTGCAGTGATCCTCTACCATGCTTAACTAATGGCTGTAGACATGGCATACATAGTGCCTTCTGCTGCTTTCAAAGATCTCCAATTTAGATTCATCAGTCGATAAAATCTTACTGCACATCTCAGATGTCCAGTTTTGGTGTTCTAGTGTAAATCTTCTTCTTTTTGACTATTTCCTTTTCTTAGAAACAGCTTCTTGACAGATCCACAGCATTGGTGTGTGTAACAGAGGAAGCATGGACAGAAACACCAGTAGATTTTTTTTAGATCTATAGCAGAAGTGTTTCTTTGAAGAGGAACATAACGTCACTGAGATCTTTCGTTGGCAGGACACTGCTGTAATTGGTTGTTTTGAAGCCTGAAAGGATGGAATAGTTAATAACACTAGGTATTTCAGGCTTTTGTGTAAATATATATTCTGCTTTTTTTCTGGTGCTGAAAAATGAAAAACTGACAATAATTACTTGTTTTATCTATAGAAATTCAATAAATTATTAGGTGGTCTCTTTTTTTTATTAGGTGGACTTTTGCTCTGTAATGTATAGTAATTCCAAAAGAAATATGGGTAAAAAGCCAGTGTGTGCAAACCTTTGCTTCTATCTGTCTGTAGCAGGAGACTCCATACACACACTTCATTTCTTCATTCAGAGAAGGTAAATGGAAGTAAACCGTGTCTAAAATCAATAAAAATAAACAAACATTAAATAGTATTGAGCAGATGTGCTTCCCAGTATAACAGGTTTGTTGTGTAACAGGTTTACATTTCATGATTTAGTGGAATACTGTCACCCTGTCCCTGTGAACTCCTTAGTAAATTTTCCTCTGAAGTAGCACTAAAAACAAAATCACATTTAAAATGCACTTTTACTTTTCTGTATTCATCAATTATTTAATATAGGCAGAGCAACAATCTGATTCACCAATGGCTAACTTCTAATGTAGATTTATTATTTATTGTGCAATAATAAGCTTAATTTTATAAGAAAAAAAGCAACGTAATCTTTTAATTTTAAGTGATTCTGATATTAGTAGTGGCCGGTAGAGGGTATAATTAACACTTACAATCTATTATAGGGTATATTTAGGTTCTGATGGTTTCGATATACATAGTAAAAAGATATAAATTCAAAGGTTTTAGGCACCTGAAAAAATGAGGTTTATAAAGGCATTTGGCATTTAAATATAAGCAAATAATATCAATACAATACATTTTATGTCCGTCAATGTGCTCACTTGACACCTCTCCTCAAGAAAACATAGTATTAACTGTAGTTGTAACCCAGTATGTGGTTTAGCTAATCAACAGTTAACATAAAGCTAAAGAGGAATTCTGCTCATTAAACAAAGTCATTCAGAGTGGTTTGGTGTGAAATGCTCCGCTCCAGAGAAACGTGCCGAGTCAAAACTGTTCACAGTGGTGGTGATAGGAACCAGACGTCTGAAGAGCTTAATTCCTCTAATTATCATCATCAACATTACATATAAAAACCCACAAGACCTGTAGGTTCACTCGTAGTTTTGGAGAATAAATAAAATGGATATATTTCTGTTGGACATGGCGACCCCTGGTTCCTATCACCACCACTGTAAAGAAATCTGTAAGTTTCTCTACAATAATCCATTTCACATTAAAGCACTCTGAATGACTTTTAGATCTCAACCACTGAACGTAGAAAAATTGACAGATTACCCTTTTAAATCAGGTGTTGGAGTTTAATAAAATCTATGTGATGGCAGGGCAGTGAAGTCTACATCCAACCTTCTTGTAACTTTTCACTGTATTAATGTTAGTTTGAATGTATTCTAATAGTGTTTTCAAGTGACAAAACACACTTATTGCCCAGACAAATGACTTAATCAGTTAGTTTAAGTTGAATAATTAGTTTAGAACTGCTTAAGATTTTTGGACAATACTGTATATGTAAAGCTTGTCTTACCTTCTTGATAATTGTGTGCCCCGTCAGGCAGAGCGAGGAAGGGAAGGTACTTCCATTTCTCTGGCAGATTATTACTGTCATGGCCTTCAGCAGGAATCAGCGGAGGATACGAGAACTCCACCTGAAAAACGAGCAACTGTCGTGTAATTAAGGTTTTCAGAGATAAATATCGGATTGAGCAGAAAGTTAAACGGTTAAAGCCGTTTTAGCAACACTAAGCGTCTACGTTAACACAGCCTACACACAGCCCATACGACTAGCTACTGTAGCATGTCTGAAGTTATCCTAAGAGATTTGGAGAACACTTCATCCACTGTTGTTCTGCCATATTTACCACCGTTACGGCAAAAAGTACACATTAACACAGGTTAGCACTACCTAGACAGGATTACTCAGCAGATGCTATGGTATTGCAGGTGGTTGCTGTGGTACTCCAGGCAGTTGCTAGACGGTTGATATGGTTTTCCAGGTGGTAGCTAGGGTGTTGCTATGTGGTTGCTATGGTATTCTAGGTGACTGAAATCATGTTGCTAGTTGGACTGTGGTATTCTAAGTGTTTCCTGGGTTGTTTCTAATCAGGTTCTGTTATTGCACATGGTTGTTAGGGTGTTGTTAGGCACTTGCTAGGTGGTTGATATGGTGTTCCAGGTAATAGTTAGGGTGCTGATAGATGGTTGCAATGGTATCTAATGTGGTTGCTGGGGTGTTGCAAGGTAATTGCTTTAGTATTTAAGGTAGCTGATATGGTGTTCCTATGCAGTTGCTAAGGTATCCAAGGTGATTACTAGGGTTTTCCAGATGGTAGCTAGGGTTTTGCTATATGGTTGCTATGGTATTCTAGGTGACTGAAAGCATGCTGCTAGTTGGATTGTGGTATTCTAAATGTTTGCTGGGTTGTTTCTAAGCAGGTTCTATGATATTGAACATGGTTGTTGGGGTGTTGTTAGGCACTTGCTTGGTGGTTGATATGGTGTTCCAGGTGGTAGTTAGGGTGTTGATATGTGGTTGCAATTTTATCTAATGTGGTTGCTGGGGTGTTGGAAAATAATTGCTTTAGTATTCAAAGTAGCTGACAGGGTGTCCCTATGCAGTTGCAAAGGTATCCAGGGTGGTTACTAGGGTGTTACTAGGTGGTGTTATGGCTTAGGTTTCATGATAATATTGCATCCCAAGTCTTCTATTGATTCCTGTCAATAATATCAGGAGTAAATACTTGCTGGCCATCACATAGATTTGTTACATTCCACCACCAGCACAGTTTATTTAATTTAAGGAAGAACTGATTAGATAAACTAAACATTAGATGGTAACTGTAAATAGTACTGGGTTACATCATGGAAATCCTTGGAAATGGTTAAACGAACACAGTGAAATACATAAAGTCAACAATTACTGTACAATATTTGTATACTGCAATATTAGTAGTTTTCTGAGCAAATAAACACCTATTCTTTGTAATTCTTTTATTTTTATTCCAATTGTTAGATGATACACAGACAAAGAGACATACAGCAAGGCCAAAGACATTCTTTCCTGTCTAAAACATCTACAAATGTTCTTCAGCATGGTCACTTTGAGTGTAAACTTGCTGACAGCTGATCCTCCACACCAGCCCAATAAATAATGCATTAAAACAGGAGCACACAGGGCACATTTGCTGTCCCTTAAAGAAACCGATCAAACAGAAACAGATCAAATTTACCCCGTTTCCCTCTTAACCCAAACAGGTGATCAGCCCAGACATATTTGATGTCTGAAGCTCTCTTCTTTAATTTAGCCCTGGAGCTATGAGGCTAATGTAGCTAATAAGCAATGGAAGCATACAGCACTGTGCAAACTGCACACCTAAATCAACAAACTGCTTCAAACTCTATTGACTTAAGGAATCTCAAATAGAGTAATCTCATAGTCTGACACTATGACATGCTGTTATCTATAAAAATGAACAAAGCACTGCCTCTGTTCATATGTTTACACATACACAGACACAATCAGACCTTTATACAGGCTGAGCCACCCAAAATTCACAACTTCACAGATTTATGATTATAGTTTGATCACTATAATGGTGTGGCAAATGACGAAAAGGCCAATGTACTGCGTGCACAGTGACATTTCATTAACATTTCCATTAACATTTCATTTCATTCATTAAAAGTTTATCAGCATTGAGATGCAAAGCTTCGGCTTACTTTACAGACTCGGGCTCACTGAAATGTTTTTCTGTACAAATGTCACGTCACATGCTTTCTGCCCTGTGGAGGGACAACCAATGAAGAGAAAACATTTCCACAGGTGTGCAGTTCCTTCATCACACAGCAAATGTTAAGAAGCAACACTTTGACTTTTTTGAATGTTTTAAAAACCCAGTGAATTAGAGAGCCAACATCCTCTGCACCCTGGCCTTTCTGCGCCTTATTTTGTTTCCAAATGACGCTGGACACTGGTCAGACAAGTTTGTGTTTAGTAGAGGGGGACCCTCAGAGAAGGCCTAATATCTATAATTTTGATCATTTTAGTTCATTTTTATTCTGTATTATGGAAACAGAAGGGTTAAATCTTTGAAATCGTCCATGGAAAACTGGTCAATCAGGAATTGTTTTACTCTGTGCTATCTAAGTTGATATAGCTAAGTGACCCCCCCACTATTGGTTAGGACTTCAGGAGCCGAAGAGAAATCCTAACATTAGATTAACTATCAGCATGATTAAGAAGTGACATACGAATCATTCAATCACATCTTAATTTCCAATAGGCCAATTTCTGTGAGTAAAAGTGAGCCATTCTGGAAGGCCCAGATACAACACTGACTGTCAGGACTATTGTATTAGCCACTTTGGCCCTAGCTATGTTTAGCAGCTGGTAGTACTGTCAAATTCAATGAGAGTCAGGTGTTGAGTTAGGAGTTAAGTCCAGCAGCACTGCTGCGTCTGATCCACTTGTACCAGCGCAACACTCACTAACACGTCAGTGTCACTGCAGTGCTGAGAATGATCCACCACCCAAATAATGCCTGCTCTGTGGTGGTCCTGTGGGGTCCTCAGCATTGAAGCACAGGGTGACAAAGTATGCAGAGCAAGAGATGGACTACAGTCTAATTGTAGAACTACAAAGTGCTCCTACATGGTAAGTGGAGCTGATAAAATGGACAATGAGTTTAGAAACAAAGAGGTGGCACATTTTTAACACAACAAGGGGTGCAGCTGTCAGATATTCTGACCCGCTGACCATTCATGACCATTTTTCAAGAACAATTCAACGTTCACATTAAAGTTGAGAGTAACAGATGTTAGGTGGGAGTCTTTAGCTGTTCTTGATGTTCTCTTACGTTTCACACTAATTGCAGAAACAGGTTTCTAACACTGGCTGTGGAACTGGAAACCTCATTATGAAGCTAGCTAATAATAAATGGGCTTTGGTTTCAACTGGTTGGAGAAGTTTTAGGTTCAGTTTTGGGGCTATTGTTAGTATTTTTCCCTGCTGAGGTGTTCGTGCATACTACCAGTAAGTTAAAGGAGAATTCCACCAATTTTTTCTAAATTTCTGAATAATTCAGCCCTGCGATGAGGACAGTCATTCAGAGTGGTCTGACGTGAAAGGATTAATTGCAGACAAACTTAGAGTCTCTGATTTCTTTACAGTGTTAGTGATAGGAACCAGGGGTCACAATGTACACAACACAAACATAGCCATTTTATTTACCGCCCAAAACCACCAGTGAACCTACGTTTCTTCTGAGCTTTTTTTTATGTAATGCTGATGATGGTAAAACAGTAATAAATCTAAAGGCCTAAGTTTTCTTTGGAGACTATTTTGCCTTACAACGTCCTGCAAGTACCCCTCCACCATGAATTGATTAAAATAAATGAATGAAAGTACAATTTAAGCCAAAAATTTATCACAAAACTATCATAAAACGATGTGTCAGACATCAGGCATAATGTATCTAACCATTTCATGTCAGGGAGCTTTCAGAGGTATTAAACTCATCAGATGTCTGGTTCCTATCACCACCACTGTGAACAATTCTTAGTCGTTTCTCTAGAAAAAGAGAATTTCACAGTAAACCACTCTGAATAGCTTTGTTTACATCTCAACCACACACCATTTTTGAAATACGGTGGAGTTCCCCTTTAACTCAGCACGACTGCTATTCCCCCTTCGGAACACGCCTTCGCTCTGATGATAGTAATAACACGATTTAATGTTGTGTGTTGTTTAATACGACACGCAGCCATTCGTCTTCTCTAGCTGTTTATTAAGTGTACTGTACTGCTGATTCAGTGCAAAGAGAACCAGCGAGTCTTAACGTTACCTTCACCACAGAAGCTAGCAATGCTAACCACCGATGTCCTACACATGAACGAATCGGTTCTTTTGAACTTGTTCGCCTCAGTGAATCGATCGAATCGACTCACACAGTTCTTATAACATCTGTGGTGTTTATGTGTGTTACTGTGATTAGAATGAATAGTTTAATGACAGTTGGAGTCATAATCTTGCACAATGTAACCTAAACTCAAACTATGAAGTACTACACTGAAGTATGTTGACAGCCTTTCTGAATACTTATTTTCTCACTGCAGCCTGTTTGGTTTCCTCTTTCCGGACAGATATACTGACTCTCAGCAAAATGAACGAAATCAGACGGATTTACTTCAGCTTAATATCACTGCAAGTGGAGGAAATCACCATAAAGCTGACTTGCGAATCAATTAACTTAATCGGATGTTTGGTTGTTTGAAACGGACAGTTCGAGCGAATCGGTTCGCAGAACTGAATCGAACTGCTCATCACTGTTTGCTAATAAGTCTGTTGACAGTGTGGAACAAACGGGTGTGTCTTTTCTAAACTTTAAACAGAAAGCAGAGAAAGCAAAGGGGACTGTGCTCTTTGAAAAGGAAAGCTACATTCAACAACACGAAGCTGAAGTCAGCTTCTCATTCGCCAGCTTCTTGTTCGAATTATCCCGTTCCACCTTAAAAGGTGCAGGTGTTACATGCTGGCGCGCACTGCTGCACCATTTAAGGTGGAACGGGAAAATTCGAACAAGAAGCTGGCGAATGAGAGGCTGACTTCAGCCTCATCAAACTCAATCCACCTTCCGAGTTGTTGTTCACTCCTGTCTCACCTGACAGCCCCTCTTGTGATGAAAGCCGACCACCACGATGTGCAGCACGGGTCCTCTGGGTTCCTCCTTACCGTAGGACTCCATAACGCAGCGCCCTGAACTGCTATTTAATGAATTTAGAGACGGAATCACTACGAAATCGCCGAGGCTCCCTTTATTTCCCGCATTGATAGTTCCTCATTAATCCACAGTCACACACAGACAGTTTCCGCTTCGTGTGACTTCACTGCTGAGTGACGTCGCCAGGTCGCTTGTGCGTGTTCATACGGGTCATCCGCCTTAAAGGGGTACTCCACCAATTTTCAATATTCTGCAAGCTTGAACGGTTAAGATGTAAATAACCTTTTTGTTTTGGATTGCGCCATTCTATGGAAGTTTACAGAGTCAGAACTGTTCACAGAGCTGGTGAAATGAACCAGACTTCTGAAGATTTTAATGCCTCTAAAACCTCCCCCACAAAAAGTTATGCCATGAAATGTTTACGAATGCACTGCCTTTTTACGCATTGTTTTACGACAGTTTTGACCTAATCGTATTGTGGCGACAGAGCACACCTGTGTTCTGTTCAGTTTAAAAGTAATAGCGCAGGGTGTATTTAGTTTAGGCTGTGTTTCCTAACTGTGATTTTGCTTATTCCCTTTTGCAGGGACTCTTATTGTGAAGGGCGGGGCTACTGGTCGGGCTGTGTGTTGTAGCAGGCTAGTGAGAGAGCTAACAACAGGAACCATGAGCTAGGCTGAAGGTGACTTTCTCCTCCTGTATTCTGTTTGCTGTGCCAAGTTCTAAATGAAGCCACATTATGGACAAGAACTTTAAGCTGTCCATGGTAGAACTCCCCATGTCACATTGGTGTCAGAAGTGGCTCAAGAACCAGAGACAAGATGAGACGAGAGGTCGGTCCAAGGCTTCGATGGAGCGTCAGGTAAGGGACACTCACTTGAAGGTTCGTGACATGGTGGGTGGAGGGGTGCGTCACCCCTCCCCACATGCAGGTTAGCAGAAAAAATTGCCCCCCCTCTGGCGGCTTATAGGACAATCAGGCATTGAATTTATGTCCTCCATGATTTCCTTGCCCAATGCTGTTACCAGCCCAATGTGACTTGGCGAACACCACGGTCAAAGCCACCCTTACAACTCCAGTGCATCTGCCCGAGGTAAGATGTTATGATGGTACAGGGGGTTGGTCAGCTTACTTTCAATTTGAGATGGTTGTGGCTCAGCGGCGGAAGGGCCAGCCCTGCAGGTACTTTTAGCGCTACCTGCTGACATTACTGTAACTAGGCACAACCTCGCAGCCAGCCTGGGAAAACAGTTTAGTGAGCATATGTGGCCCGTGCACATTAGAGAGAGACTCAACCAGGAGCTGGGTCCACTTGCAGCCAACATAGAGAGAATAGGATGAGACTCGCCTGCACAGCCCATGATAGTTTGTTGTTGGATGCGTTCCTACGGGTGGTAAGGCTGGTAAGGCCAGTAAGGCTCCAGGAACAGTTGCAGCTAGCAGAGCCACTTTGCCTGGGGGGAAATATGCAAGCTGCAACCAGGTTCGTTCAGTGGTGGAGGCGGGCTGCTGTGACTGTAAATATAATTTCTATATTTGCATTGTAGAAATCGTGGTTCCTATCACCACCATTGCAAAGAAATCTGAGACAGCAGAAACAGTTCAGGGTTCGAAATTCTTGAAGCTTCACAAAGAGGTTCTGATCTAGGATCTGTTCTTGTTAGTAAGGTCATCATAATTAAAAATCATAATTATCCTAGATCAGCACCTTAGCTCTGAGAAGCTTTACAGGCCCATTTATAAAACATGTCTTGGTTGATCGACTACGTATTGCATTTAGGTGAAATGTGTAAATTAGATTTTTCAGTGAGCTGTTCTTTTAAGTAGTGAAATTGCTAATATTGATGCTACACAAGCGTGGAACATTTTAGTTTACTATAGAGTGCGACAGCTGCAATTCCCAAAACAGCATTTCCTTTTCCCATAGAGAAAAATGGCTTAGAACCCAGGATTCATCCAGGTGCTAGCTAATACAATTGTTTTTTATTACTCTGAGCCTTTCAACACTGCACATTATTGCCATTGCAAAGCATGGAGAAGCTATATAATCTACTGTGTCTACAGACTGTTTAAAAAAGACATCTTTGCTGTAGTTGCCTTACACAGTAGTTCCACAAAAGTTACTAAAGAGTGCGATAATCTGATTTAAACACTCGGAAAACCCCCTTCTGATGATGTATCATGAAAGTGGGAGGAACCTTTGGCAAATGAGAAGCACTTTGAGGTGGATTCTTGAGGGTGGGCAAGCAGAATGAAGCGTGATAACTAATTTTACTGCTAGGAAGCCATAAATCACATTTGTATAGCCTCTACATCAGTGGCTATCAGGATTTCTTTATGGCAGTGGGGGGGATTTCCAGTATTGTGTGATGGAATTGCATAATGTATGCTGGGTATTGTAATGAGTAAAAACGAATGGACAAAAATGCGGTTAGGCTCAGAGATGCAGTGTTGCGCTACAGAATATTACATAACATGACAAATCACATTTTAAATGCTAGTTTTAGGCCAAAATGCCACTTTCAGAAATTTCTATTTATTCCAATGGATGCTTACTAGTATATTCCTTCTACACAAGCAAGAGAAAATACTGTAAATAGGTTCAGTTACAATAAAGAAAGGTATTTTTGCCCTCCTCTGTCTTGCTGAGTCAGAAATGCGGCCTTCAGCTGCATATTCAGAAAAAAAAGACAGACATAAGTGGGATGGTTTTAAGAAATTCCACCTCTGGATAATGCTGACAAAATGGTAATTAAGTAAAATTAAGAAAAATTCGTAATGGGAAAGTGAATATAAGAATGACATTCAGCTCTTCACTTATAACTTGAATCAAACATCTGAATGTCTCAAGGTACCCCACATCATTTTGGTCCCAGTGTGAAGCGTTGCAGAACTTACAGCACCCTCTACTGTCTGAAATCATTCACTGCATCTCTATGTAGAAACAGCAGACTGCATTCATTGTATACTCCTACAACCATTACTACATGCATTTTTAAATGAATTTTAAGAATGTTTTATCTTAGCCTTAACTTTGTATGGTGAACTTGTATTTGCTCTTTATTTATTGTATGTTCTGGCCCTGTATGTTCTTGTGATGGCCTACCAAGTTGAATTCCTGTGTACTTTGTACATTTGGTGAATAAAGTTATTCAAATTTCAAATATATTGACATATATAAAAAAGATACTTTTATAAAAAGCCTAAAATCAAGACAAGTTGACTCTTCTTGGAACTGCCTTTGACCTAACTGAATTCTTTCATGTGGTATTGTTAAAGTGACACTTCTTTACTCTAAAAAATTGAAGATACTTTAAATGAACATGTTTTAATGATTAATTTTGCTTGTATAAAATATATAATTGAGACTGGTAACCGAGTGTCTATGGAGGAACGTCTCAAACTAGAACAGTCCAGCCTGCTCTGGGTATTTGAAAAGCCAGTTATTTGTTTGAAAAAAACCAAACCCAATCCTCAACATCATTTCGAGATGGTGGAAAACCTCTAGTTGCCTGTATACTATTAATAATTCTAATCATTAGAGTTGATATGTACATGAATTTATAAATGAATAATGAACACAGCAAAAATGAATTTACCTATAAGCTCCCTAAAGTGCCTTGACTTTTCAGTTAGAACATACTTGCCCTCGGCTAGGTTGGCTTCATGTGCTAAACGGCTAACAAACTTTCAGAAGGAAATTCATACATAATGTAAATCAAACTTGTGAATATTTGCTTTGTCTGGCAATAAGCCTAAAACCATTGTGCCTTTTATTTGTTGATTTGTTAGCTGTGTAGCCTTTAGCTTGCTAACAAGCAAGCTAGTAGAGTAATGAAGTTGTATCAGCAGTCATACATACCTGATGGACTGAATGAAATGTCGGGGTTTGAAATAGTAATCATTTTATAGTGTACCGCTACTGCTTTTGAACGTAGCATTTTATAACCAGATATACAGATTATAAACATATATGTAACATATATATATGCAGAGAAACAGATGGACTACAGTCTGTAACTGTAGAACCACGAAGTGCACCTATATAGTAAGTGGAGCTGATAAAATGGACAATATGTATATGCATATATATATATATATATATATATATATATACACACACACACACACACACACAATAATCTAAGTATGTATGTCTGTACAAAGTTTACTGTTCTGAGAAGGTAAATACATCACTCATGTTACCACTCATATCAGTAACTTTAGCTGGCTAGTTTATTGCTAACAATTTTCGCTTTCATGAAGGCATCCATGATTTTGCCCTTATTGACCCCCCCCCTACTTTCTAGCTTGAACGTGCTTGAAAATAATGCAAGTCTGAGCTCCAACTTCCCACTTCCTAGCCAAGTTGAATACAGCATAACCTCATATTACTTCAGGGGTGTCCAATCTTATCCCAAAGGGCCAGCGTGGCTGCAGGTTTTCATTCCAAACAAGCAGGAACTCATCTGACTGCTCCGCTTTGTTGGAAGGAAAACTTGCATTACTTGTTACCCCTGCATTACTTGTTGGCTACATTATCCTTGTAGCTCCTGGGCAAAACATACTGTAATTACCCCAAAAATACAATGTAATAGACTAAAATATAACAGAAGTAAAAAAATAAAATAAAAGCCAAAGCAAATGTTTTGATATGGTTTTTAATAAATTAATGTTCATTCAAAATACAGTGCCAAAAGAACAGGATGCAGCTGAACATGCTAGTAAAGAATCTGCCGATAGCACCTGTGCTCGAATGGATAAGGTACAAGAATCCCGTCCACACCCACCCCCTCCCTACTGCTAGTGGTTGCCGGGACAATTGCCATAGCAACAGCCTTGGGCGTGTCCTTTATTTCCCCCTCGAAGAACCAATCAGCAGCAAGACTCCTCAATTCTCACTCAAAAATTAACAAAATAAAGAAAAAACAAAAGGAGGAAAAATAGATATCCATACACAATCATACTACAGTAATGGCTGATATTAAATAATATAAAAGGTACTAAATACAAAATAGACCTGATCATTTTCCCCCACACTGAAAGGTGATTTGAAAAGAAAAAGAAAAGACATTAACATTTCAGCAGCTAGGAAATAATGCATGAGCCCAATTCACTGTTGAACTGAGAGTGGAGAGGGGTTTGTGTGTTGGGTATGAGTGTGTGCATGTGAGAGACGCTGTACGAATGAGGAAGAGTATGTTTGAGAGGTAAAACAAGAGAGTTCAGAAAAATAACATCTTGTTTATATTTAAATTCCAGCAAACCCAATAGAGGAGATGACTCAGTGCCCGTTGTGTGGAGGGGTCAGTCTGTGTGTGCGTGTAGTCTTGTAGAGGCAGCGAGGACTGGAGCTGAGAGATGTATAAAAAGCACAGACGAGCCATCGACCGAACCAGCAGTCAGCTCCTAAAAATCTAAACACACTTGACACACACACACACACACACCAACGTGTGCCCAGCGCACACGCGTTACGCGCCCATGGTTACTGTACATGGCCGCCGTGTTGAGAACTGCACTCTACGGTTAGTTAGAGAGGAAAGAAACGGGTAAAAGGCAAGAATAGAATAAAACAGGGCTTTTGGTGCCGTAGCCCTCTGAAGAGGTGTCAGTTTGTAGCTAGTGACATGCCCAAATAAGGAACAAGCTATGGTGAAAATGAAGGTTTTTGACAATCGCTGTTCTCACTTTTGTGTATTTCAAAGCGGATACATTTCGTAGCGTTGGGTGGTTAAGCGGGTTAAATCAGAGGAGAATTCCCACTCTGTAATGTCTTCCGGGTTTCTCAAACGCTAGAGGGCGCTCCTGAGCGAGTCCAAAATGAATGGGTTTATATGGAGCATCTGAGCAAAATCATAGTTTATAAATGCTTAAACATTTTTAATGTAAAATAATAATCATTTCCTGAACACAGAACAGCATAGAACATTTTAACACTGGTGTTATGTTTTTAAGAGCTTTTAAACTCGAGATATAGGAGTTTAAAACGGCACCTCATGTACGTCCATGAGGTCTGGACGAATAGGAAGTGGCCAGGCTCCTCCTAAACCGGCTCTGGTTAAATCTTTCGCAAGTTGCGTAAAAGTAAAAATCTTGCGTCATTTCAAAACAGTTTAGTTTGCTTACATGCTCCCCAAATAACTGAACGCAGTGCATGATTTTCAAGCCATCATTCAATAAAACAGTAAATGTAGCTATTGTGTTAATTGCTAAATGTCAAACAGTGCTGCTACCTAAGTTCTTAGCTAGCTTGATAAAAGCTCTGTTCCCTGCAGAACCGACTAACTCTGACTAACTAAAGCACACAAGTTTAGATGATAATGATTTATATTTGAGGAAATGAAGTCTAGCAACTGATAACGAAGGGACAGAAGGGTGAAATTAAACCTGTTCCATGATAGTTGGATGTGTGGCGTGCTTGGCTAGCTTAATGCTAGCTTAGCTAGCAGGCTATAGATCCAGACAGTGCCACACTCCACAGTACAGGTTCTATTCTGACTAACTGGTGCTCTTCTAAAACAAATGTAGATGATAAAAACTAATGTTTGAGAGAGCAAAAGTCGAGTGACTGGTCAAACTCGAACCAAATCTCGACGTTTGGGGTTGTAGCGTTTTAGCGCTAATGATAGCTCAGTTAGCAGGCAAAACGTGCCACACACCACAGCACACACCTGGTTCCAGTTAACTGATGCTAAAATGACACCCATTTAGAGGATATCTGACAAGTTCAGTGGTGTCGGAGTCGAACTGGAGTCGAAATGAAGTTGAATGTGTTCTGTGGTGTGTATAGTTTTTAGCCATCGTTAACACTGCTCTGATTCTTCCCCTCTTTTTCATCAGCGCCACCTAATCGGTGAGCCCCTCTACAGTATAAGTGCAACGTGTTTGTTTTAGCCGTTTCAGATGTAGAATAGAAATCTGAAATACCGTGGTATACTTTATTACCATTATACGCCACCCCTAATATTTTGTCGTATTAATATATTCCCAAAATATCACTGGATTCTCAGAATTATGAGGTCATTAACAAGCTGAAATGAGAATATTGCTACATGCATACTACACTGTGCACTGAATTAAAATCGTAAGACTGGCAACAAGAGCAGGCATATCATCAGTGGGTATCAGTGTCGGTCCAATATCAGCAACCCTGTAACAAACCACACTAGGGCTGCACATTAAATCTTATTACTGGTATCACAGTATGAGTTTCCAGGATAAACAAGTAGTTAGGAGCTGCAATGTCGAATCCGATCTCACACAAGTACCTCACGCAGTGCCAGACTGAATTAGACTGAAGGAGCATTAGACCCAACAAGTGCTTCCCTGTGCTGGGCCTGATCCCTGCTCTCTCGTCTAGAGAGCAAGTGACTTACGCCTGAGCGGTTAGTTATGATGCACAGGATAAACGTATCAGCTGTAGAATGATTTCGTTTACCATAGAGCGCAATAGCGGCAATTTTCAAAATTCCATTCGTTGTTCCACATAGACAAAACTAGCTTAGAATCAGAGTTCCTTACATGGGCAGGTCATCGACTATAAAGTGACGTGCAATCCCGGAGGTCTATAGCTAATGTCAGTTTGTAGGAGGTTTACCTCTAAGTGCATCATCATCCACAATGAAAATCATAATCTCTTTACATTATCACATTGTTCAAACAGTATGTCAAACCTGCAATAATGTCTAACAGATATAAACAAGCAAAACAACCAAAAAAAAAAACCCTTTATGCTAGTCTTTTGAGGGATCATCATCATCATCATCATCATCACTGCTGTTTTGAGGCTTATAATGGATATGCTATAGTAAGCTATGAGTGGTGACTCCAGGGACGGGAAGGGCAGGTTAAAGGGGGGAAACAAATAAAAATCACCCCGTTTTCCACAGTAAAGTCTTTAAATTCCAAATGGAAGTCCGACCAATATTGACACCCTGGCTGTCCAGAATGGCTCCTACCCTTTATTCCTCTCAGAACCATCCAGAAACTCCTACAGGAAGTCAACTGAATTCAGAGAATTAAAAAAGTTCCAGATAAGCAAATAAGCTAATACAGGAGTGTCCACTTCAGTCTTGCAGGGCCACTGTCCAGCATGATTTAGTGCTTTCCCTGCTCTTACACAACTGATTCACTGAATTAGAAAAGAATACAAAACCCACTAATTTTAAACGCACTGATAATAAAAGCTGATGGACAGCTGCTGAAATCCACAAATAAACACTTTTTAACTCCAAAAGGTGTTCGGTAAGGACAGACTAAAAGAACGTCTTACCAAACTGTTCTTATGACATTTTATCTAACTTTCCAACATTGAAAAAACAGTTAAAATAAAAAGGTTACTTCCGTTTTTCCTAAGGCTTTCTAGTATCAGTGATTTGGTAGAGCCTGTAAAAACTCCGCTCAGATCACTAAACCAGTAAGAAATGACCACTAAGTCTTCCTTCGAGAAATTAGTCTCAACTATGCAAGAACCAAAAATACTTATTTACAGCTTATCTTTTTACAGTTATCTTTGAAAATGCACAAAACTGTTTCATGTTTCATTTAGTGACAATTAAGCAACTGTCCAGTGGCTTCTATTAAGTGAGTTTGGAGATAACAGTTCATGTTTTTTTACAGTAACTACAGGAACAGGAACTACAGGAAAACGGGTTGTATTCCTTTGAAAACCAGGTTTAATCTGGTGTATCAGAGCAGAATTTACTGAACTGTGCCGGATTGAGGCCCTTAAGTTTTGGAATTGGACACCCCTGGGATAAGGGGATGGATGCTATGAGCTCTAAAGCTATACATGCGGCAGTGCCACCATGTCCCTGTCCCTGTCCACTTCAAACTCCTCCGCTCCATCGGGGGAAAAGAGGTAGGTGGGTGGTTTCCATGGAGACTCCTCCAGGCAGGAGGGGTACAGTTTTCCCACAGTGCAGCGGAAGTCCTTGCCCAGGTCCCACAGCACGCGCTCGGACACAGGCTGTCGCAGGCACCACCGGTCCAGCTCCAGGTCGTACTGATAGAGGGCATACTTTGCACGCTCGTTAAGATGAGTTTCGCGCATGAAGATGCATAACGTATTTACCAAAACCACGGCGCGCACGCAAGGGTCGGAGTAGCGCTTAGCTGGGATGTTAGCGGCCATCCGCCATTCGTTCTTATTAACGTCGTAAATCTCCACGGTAACAGAGGAACCATCGATGGTGCTGGTGGGCAGCCGCAAACTGGAGTTCCCCACTACGTGGAGTCCACCGATGTAGAAGATGAGGTCACCGAGCGCAGCTGCGGAAGCGAAGCAGCGGCTGGTCTGTCTCATGGCCATTTCCACCCACGTGTCGGCATGAGGGAAATAGCAGTACATGAGGTCATGGCTCATGACGTACACGCAGTCTCGGGCAGCCACGGCTGTGCTCCAGCTCCAGGCGCAGGGCAGTGGGCTCGTCATGCTCCATTCATCTCGCTCACAGTCATAGCGCTCAACTGTACGCTTATTAAGCTCTCCGCCCACATTATCGCCTCCGATTGCGTATATAAATCCCTGGCAATAGACCAAGGAAGGCTTGGTGCGGGCACAGAGCATGGGCGTTTTGGCCACCCAGGCATTCTGCTGAGCATCCAGCCAGTAGAAGCTGTCCACTGAGCAGTAAGCGGCCTGAAGCTTGCCACTTTTGCTGCCATGGCTTGCTGCCAATGCACTTTTAAGTGGTACCTGTCCGCCAGCAATAAAGACATCGTTGTCTGGCGTGACCAAAGTACCGACTTTCTGCAGGTCTCCAGGTGGACTGCTGAGTTTGTAGACCTTCTCAGCCTGCGGACTATAACACACCACAGTGTGACGAGGACCGACTACCATTGGCTGGTTGTCTCCAGGAGACTCCGCCTCCACAAAAATCAACATCTCTTCCTTGGTCATACCCAGCCTAGGCTTGAAAAACTTGGGCATGGACTTATAGAGGCCCTGCACCACCACCGATTTATCATTAGGAGGAAGGCCCTGGAACCAGGCACGCTGGGTGACTTCAGAAAGCGCATCAATCCGAATCTGGCTGAGGACAGATGACAGGTACTGCGAGCGAGCCTCCATGTTGTACTCCAGCCACAGCATGGCTGCCTCCCGCACTGTCTCCTCTTTCTCCACATTCAGGTTGTCGCTGCTGAGCAGGTCCAGCAACAGCTCATGAGACAGCTGCAGAAAGGCCTCTTGACGGTACACCACCGGAAACTTGTGCTCCACCATCCGCTTTGCACTCTGCTTCAGCTCGGTGCAGCTGAACAGGTCACCAATGCTCAGCATCCGCACGCAGTTATCCGCTGTGATTTTCTTCACTAAATAATCGCGACACTGCAGCAACACATCTTCAACCTGAGCAGAAAGGAAGGAAGAAAAATTATGATTGATCCCAAAGTTACAGCATCGCAGTTTTTCCTTTCCAGGGTGTAATTTAGCTTACGCATATGTTACCACAGGACCACTGGCTTAGGTAAATAAGTACTAGGGTTGGGTACTGAACTCGGTATTTTTAAGGGTACCCACCAAACTATGTCTGTACTACTGAGTACTGATTCATGTTAAAACAACTGGTTCCAAATTTCGGTTTAAACCCAACACACAGTAAGGGCAATGGCAAGCCGAAAGAGGTCTCGTGTTATACCTTTCAAAACCTGACAGAGACAATGCCTTCTGCAATATCTGTAATGCAAAACTCAAACACAAAATATATCTATAAGCTGAAGAGTGTTTCATTTTTGATAGCCTGAAGGCCACAGCAGCTGCAGCTAACGTTAGCAGCACGCCTGCAGGCACTGACAACTTCATTGAGATCTTCAGGTAATTCATTTGCTAGTTGGATAAATTGTTGTTGGAGAAAACATCCCACTAAACTATCCTTGCTGCTATGACTCCTACATTTTGAAAATTATATCACATGTACTTCCTCTGAGACACACATGACAACGGTAACATGTACTGTTACTGAAATGCAGGTACCCGTATCAGTATTGTTACCAAATGTGACCAGTACCCAACCCTAGCTAGAAATCAGAACAGAAATCATCTGAAATGAAGAAAGAAGAGGCATGGAATGCGAGACTGAAAAAGAAAAGAAGATAGAGTACGCTTCGTAGGCCAATGATGTCCAACCCTGCTCCTGGTAATCTATTCACCCTGCAGAGTAGATTAGTTTCAACCCTAATATAAAACAAACTCAATCTATCTACTCAAAGGGTCCAGAATATAAGAAGTAGATGTATTAAGGTAAGCTCTGCACAAAACTCTGTAGGAGGGTTGATGAGAGGGACCAGGGTTTGCAGTCCTGTTGTAAGCAAAAAATGCTGATGAAAATAAAAGTCAGTAATGGTCACCTTGTGAACTGTTTTAAGTATCCAGATTTTGATAATAGTTTTAGCCACATTGGGCCTCATTCACCGGACTGTTCTTAAGAAGACATTCTTAAAACACACATATGCAGTTTTCATGAAGATTCTGACATTCACCAATGTTTTCTGATTAGAGATTTGTTCTTAAGTGAGAAAAGAACCTACAGACACTCAATGGCACAAAGGGGCAAACAATTCTGCGGTTTAAGAACATGTCAGGAATCTGACATAGAACTTCTGAAAGACACATAGAAGAAAAAAGTTAGGAAGGCATTGGTGATCGAGGCCCATTCTTTGTTGTGTGTGATTCTTACCTGTAGAAAGCAGGCAGTTTCGTAGAGAGGCTCCACAGTACTGTCACTAATGGCCAAATGGCCCGTATAGGCGTAGGTGATGATTGTCTGCAGGGTGACAGGATCCACATTCCTCAAATGAACATGTGACTGTTTACTTTCACTCAGTCCGCTCATAAACATGGCCCTAAAGACAAAAAGGAGGGAGGAGGGGGAGATCAGAACACTGGTATATCTTAGCTTTTTAAAAACCCTACAGTCTGTTAGCTAAATGACATTATCCATATGAAAATAGGGCTCACATTACTGTATATCAAACTTAAACACCTGACATTAAAATTTGACTAATTTTCCATCTTTTTGAAAAAAGAAAAAAAAAAAAAAGTGCCTAGTTATTCCTTCTGTAAGCTTGCAAGCTGTCCTGCTAATTACTCATAGCTGCTAATGTTCTCAAGTCTCCTTCATGAATGATGAAAAAGATAATCCATATTTGATTCCAGACCAGGCAAACGAAAGCTCAAAACATTCGCTTAATTTAACGGAAGTTCACTAACATTCCATAACAGTATTAACTTGGCAGTTAGTCGATAATGTTTCTACCTAAACAAAGCTGGCTTGCTGGCTAACATCACTCTTTGATGTGATACAGAACGAATTAAGTGATTAGCGTGACATGTAATAAAAGCCATATCACCCACTTTCTGCAGTGTATTATAATCTCTCAAAATGACTAAGTGGATCATAGGAACATTACAGAGCACTTCTAAAATGAAACAATAGAAGCCATATAACCTCCTACACTTCCTGTAGCATATTATAATCTGCCTGAACGACTGTGCGGATCATGTAAATGTTATAGAACATTATAGAACACTTTTTAAATGAAACAATAGAAGCTATATCACCGCTACATTGCTTGTACTGTACTGCAATCTGTCCAAATTACATGTTGCTCATATGAACATTATAGAGCAGGGCTCTTCAACCCTGGTCCGGGACAGTCGGTATCCAGCACAGTTTGGTGATTTCCCTGCTAAGTCCAGCTAGGTGTGCTGATTAACAAAGGAACTGAGCAAGATGTGTTTGAGCAGGAAATCACTGTGCTGGACACCGACCCTCCCGGACCAGGGTTGAAGAGCCATGCTCTATAATGTTTATATGATCTACATGTAATTTGGAAAGACTGCATACACTACAAGAAATGTAGGGCCGATGTAGCATCTTTTTCTAAGTAAGGCAATAGAAACCATATTACCAATACACTTCCCATAGGTTGCTAAAATGATTGTCAATCACATCAATATTAGAGAGCACTACAGAGCACTGCAGTACATTAAGTAAACAGACATTTTTATAATCTATTTTTCACTGTTCCAGCCTTAAGAATTGACATTTACTAAAATCTTTGCATCCTGTATTCCTCAAAAGGCTGCTGATAGTCCATTCTGTGGTACAATTCTGCTGCTGCTACTAAGGATGTGGTAACCACTCTCACTTAACCATTCGAGGTGCCAGTACACGAATAGTGAAAAATTTGGTATGTTTCGTTATGGCAACATTACAACAGCTTCGTAACACGCCTATTCTATGTTTTAACAGGACTGTGAAACGTAGTGAGGTTGCTAATTATGTATACAGTATTGTATTTTGCTTCTCCAAAACAAGTGCCTTAACGTGGGTGTGTTGCCAAGGACATGACTGAGGTAGCATGAGACTTCCAGCTTGGCAGTATCATGTGATATGAAGAGGCCCAGGTAGGAAAGGCTACGACTAAACTGAGGGAAAAAACTGGGTTAAATTAAAAAAACTAACCACTCTAGCAGTTAGCATCTAGGTCCAGAAACAGTGAAAATCTGTTTTTCTGACTAATATGTTGGGACCTCATCCACAGAGGAGAAAAGACCTGGAAGATGATGAGTCCTCATCAGCATCCAATGTTATACTGTTTTGCCCCAGTGTTAACCCATTAGCTCATCTGAAGAGGCAGTCTCTGCTATTCAGCTGACACACAAACCTACCAATTCTCCTTTAACAAAATTTCAGTAAAGGTTTTACTAATTCTTCTTCCCAATGGTTAACTGCATTCCTTAACAACATACTTGTATATCAAAACTAGTCAGCACATTTTAGTTTACAGCTGCTAACAAACTTCTAGTGCACTTAGCTTCCACTGCAAGACTGTGAAGGAAATTTTCTCACCTGAAATAAGAACTGCATGTGGCCAGGATCATTTTATGGCAGGGGAACTCGCTGTCCTCCACCAGCAAGGTGATATCTGTCAGTAACTTCTGCTCATAAAAGAACTTGAGCTGCTCCAGCACAGAGACGGCATACTCCGTGTTCACCGGACGGCAAACTCCTGCCTCCGACATCATCGCAGCCCATGAGTCGCACCCCAGCTTCAAAAACTCATACAACCACCGGCTCAACCGGTCCCGACAACAACAAAAACAACAAATACAGCAGGAAGCAAGGAGCAAAGAAAGAAAAAGTTCTAAAGAGTCCTGCAGAACTCCGACCCGGCAAGATGGGGAGAATACAAGAAAAACACAATTAATTAATTATAGGATTTACGAATGCGGATGCTTCTTTTAACAGTTCCTAAGGGAATGTGCAAGAGATTTTAGAGACTGAAGATGTAATTCTTTTTCCATCCTCTTACTCTTCTACAGGAGTCATTAGTGCTTGGACAGTCGCCTGAAGGAGGTTCCAGTCTTTATCTCATGTGACTTCCTCAGTAGGCGAAAAAATGAGGTCTTTTTCTTTCTCTTTCCCTGGGTTTGAGGTAGAGGGTGAGATGGACAGGTCAGAGGATTCTCTACATCAGTGCTGTCTTTGGTCCAGTGTGTCTGCAAAGAGGAGAAAAAAAAAATCATTAGAAAAATCACACTTATGCTAAACCGAATTTGTCACAGTGAATAAAACCTGAATCAAAAGAAAGACAGCTTAGCACATTACATTTACATTTATGGCATTTGGCAGACACTCTTATCCAGAGTAAATCGATATTTAATCACATTACAGAGGCAGGTGAATAAACTGTTAAGGCTGGGCAGTATTCACTGGTGTCATACCTTCCAACTGTCTGCAAATAAAAGTATGCCTGAGATTTCTTTTTTCTGATATTTCTGCAATAAGCTTTATAAGAGTGTTGTAACATGCCAAACATTTGGATTTACCACAATAATATAATGTTCTACCATAGAACATTATAAAACTCAGAAGACATGTAAAGATTCACTGGTCATTTTGAACAGTAAATTAAATGGTTATGCTTGAGTTGAATTATGCAGACTTTTTCAAGCATCAGTGGAATTACCTTATAACGCAAATCAGAAACTGCAATCTAACAGTAACCCTGTTAGTAATAATACTCAAATAATAGTCCAACCAGATCAGGCTGTAGGGATAGAGATGTCCTGATTCATTACAGTGTCTGGCAAAGATAAAGCTAGTCAGCTAGTCTTCAAAGTTATGACCAGTAGTTAAATCAACAAATGCTGAATCAACAGTTTGAAAGCAGAAGGTTAATTTGACATATAACCGGGTCTTTCATCTACCTAAACATAATCTTTGAGCCTGTGTGTGGCGTTAATATGTAAAGATGTATGATGTGGTCCGAAAAAACACAAAATTCAACACAAAAACCTCTGACTTAAAATATTTCAGGGTCACTCATATACACACACACGTGTATGTAAATATATATATATATTTCCCCTCTTGACTCAGTAACTTCTTTAGCTACTTCTTTTAATTCTATTTTTCTTTCAATTTTAGTGCAGCTAAAGCATCTGCTAACAGTCTAACCACATAAACTACATATATATACACATTCTCTGCAGCAACGCAATCTATGGACTACATACTCAACCTATGTTCAGAAACCGAAACCGAAACTAAATAATGGGGCTTAGCCTGGTTGCGATTTTACTCAGGTCAAGAGAAAAACACGCCAACGAGTGCACTTTCACACCAGCCATGTGCAGCACCTCTCACGCAACTGGGTTGAAGTGTATTGTTTGCTGCGGTTCATAAGAATCATACCTGCAAAAGCACATATAAAATCCGCCCATGGTATTTTGCATGTGTGTCTGAATCATGGAAACATTCTGCTTTGCACGCGGTGCCACTTCCACAGTCATGCGAGAAATAAAAGATCAACACATTCAGAGAACCGCAACGAGGAGTCGGAACGCATAACATAATTCAGTTGTACTAGAATCAAACCACTTTCTCACAGTTCCTCATATCAATCAACAGGCAATACCCAACCTTATAGGTCCCTCAGAAAACAACATAAATAAAATGTACAGTGTCTTCCAGTTCTGAACTGGGGTTTCATATCTTACTTGATCCAATAGCTCAACTTACAATGGTCTTTATAACTGACTTCATGATACATTAGAGCAGAGAAACCATAAAACCATGCAGCAGAGCTGTGTCCACGGCAAGAATTGAGAATACAGTCACTGTTATATTGCTTAGTAAATGCCCTGCTGTATCAGGTTACAACCAAAAACTGTTATACGGAACTAGATTTCAGCATTTATAATTAAATATTTCACAACACCAGTTTTTATTTTCCAATACAGACATTGAAACCTTGAGCATCTGCCAATATTAAGGCTAGCCCGAATAATCTGAATAGTTAGGTATCCTTTCTTTACATTCGTGTTTGGACACTTTGTTATTTTAAATTGTAGCCTAAAATAAATTATCAGCAAATGCCTTTAGATAGAAAAGTTATTGTTAATACAAAAAAGTTGGAAATAGATCAATTATGTGTCAATTTATATAGCAGAGAAGCATGACACGTTTGGTGAATCATTTAAAAAACTGTTTACAAGTCCCAACCTTCAATGAAATGAACCAATGAGCTTGATGCTTAAGCCGCAGGTGGGAAAAGCACCCTTTCTTTTCTTTTTAAAATGTCTATATTTTATTTATTTCACTACATTCGTGATCATACATTAATAAGTTAAAGGTAAGGTTACAAATACATAACACAGTTTCAAGTGGATTTAGTCCTAATTTCTAGATCTTGTTTATGCATCAGCACTGGCAGACACGTATGTAAGAAACAATTAATCGGATATCGGCATTGGCCCAGAACTCACACATTTTTGCATCCCTACCCTGAAACTGAAGTATTAAACATAAACCATAGAGCAAAGGTGTCCAAAGTCCGGCCCCAGGGCCAAATGTGGCCTGTGCATTGATTTTAATCGCCTCCCCACTACACCCCCCCACCCCAAAGCATGTACGTTCCTTAGTAACTGTTCACAAATAAATTATCAGCAAATGCCTTTAGATAGAAAAGTTATTGTTAATACAAAAAAGTTGGAAATAGGTCAAATTGTGTCAATTTATATAGCAGAGAAGCATGACACGTTTGGTGAATCATTTAAAAAACGTAAGCACAGTGATTCTTATCCCCGTACTGCCTTGCGTCCAGTCCACACTTTTTACAATGTGAAGTGTCTCCTCCACAAACCCTTAGTACAGCGCAGCTGAAACTACCACACCAATAAGATTTCCACATTTAAGTAAATTATTGTTTTAAATATAGTTTAACACACGGAAGCGTGTGGTTTGACTGAATCTTTACACTTCACTCACACAAAAGTGAGAAAAGAATGGGCTTGCGTTTTGATCGATGTAAGAGGCACGTCTAGCACAGCCAATATGAACTGGACCACTGATTAAAACAGGAGCTTATCTGTTTTGTTAGATGAATGACTAAAAGTGCTCCAAATGTCACTGCTTTTAAGGGTGGATTTGAAAGCAAGAACTGGATCACTTCTTGAGAAATATCTGTGAGTATCTGAAGCCTGCAAAATGCTGTTCATCCAATATGGGCTATTAATAATTTAAGCACTTCTCAACAACTCTACTATTCCACAGGTAGAACTACACAGCTAACAACATGACATCACACAAGGTGAGTGTGTGCAATTTCAGGACAAATTTGTTAAAGGACTGGATCAGATTCATTATTTTTAACCCTTCGAAATCCAATCCAGCGTTTTCTGCTGATATCAGCCTCATACTGACACCTGGTATCAGATCGGGGTCATCTCTATTTATAACGGCTCACTGAATACAGCTGATTACTTTACGCATGCATTCTTGATGTTGCTTGTTGTTTTATATTACGTATTGTATTTTTTTCTTGCACCAATTAGAAAAAATCCCTGTATACTTTGTATATTTTGTAAAAAAAATATTCTCACTCTCAAGCGCCCCTGAAATTATCTAATGGCCAGAAAGAAAAACACCATAAAGCAAAACAATATAGTACGCATGTTCTTTCATGAATACAATGGTTGACTTTTACTGTAAGTCAGAAATGTTACAAAGGAGGAGATGGATCACTAGTTAAACTATGACTGGGAAAGCTTGTAACGCTTAATATGGCATCTGTTTACAAGTCCCAACCTTCAATGAAATGAACCAATGAGCTTGATGCTTAAGCCGCAGGTGGGAAAAGCACCCTTTCTTTTCTTTTAAAAATGTCTATATTTTATTTATTTCACTACATTCGTGATCATACATTAATAAGTTAAAGGTAAGGTTACAAATACATAACACAGTTTCAAGTGGATTTAGTCCTAATTTCTAGATCTTGTTTATGCATCAGCACTGGCAGACACGTATGTAAGAAACAATTAATCGGATATCGGCATTGGCCCAGAACTCACACATTTTTGCATCCCTACCCTGAAACTGAAGTATTAAACATAAACCATAGAGCAAAGGTGTCCAAAGTCCGGCCCCAGGGCCAAATGTGGCCTGTGGATTGATTTTAATAAACAATAAATTGATTTTCAATAAACATTCACAGGAAAAAAAAAGACCAAAAGAAAAAATATATATATATTTTTTCATATTTTGAATACAGAATATTTAAAATAACCTATGAGTAATACTTTGGCAATAAATAGCCAGTCCTCATGTATTTTGATAGGGTCCATTCTGGCCCGCGTTGAAAAAAGTTTGGACACTGTTGCCAAAGTAAAAAAAATAGTGAATGTTGCTCTGACAATGAAGCACAGTTTGCGTTTTTATTTTTAAGATGTATTTTACTTTTTACCAAACTTTCTGCAGGATTTCCTTAACAGTCCTATCATACAATATTACTTTATATTAACTTTTTATTACTTTACGTAACTATTACTTTTATTTACCACAGAATACTAAAAAAGCCCTATAGATTACTACAAAACTCCACTACAGCAACACTACAACTCTTATGAAAAATTTGTATATTACTACTACAGGAATTTCTTGACGACACAATTTCTTACAGTAAATTTAGAAAATTATTGTAGTTTTACAGGATTCCGCGCACGCATTATAGATTAGTGGAAGTCAGTAGATTATACTGTAGTATACTGCAATATTACAACAAAAAATCCATATTATAAAAGAATATTAAACAGCACTGCAGAAACTGAGGAGCTTCTCAGTGTTACTAACCACACTTAAGTTTTGCGGTAGCTAAGCCAACCTACACAGATCCATGTGATGACTGTAAAAAGCGTTCATTATAACATCACACTGCTGAAATACACATTCAGTTAAAATAATGGTATATTAACTGTTTCAGTCTCTCAATGTGCCCGTTTTTCTTTTCCTAATGACCTACTTAGCTTTAGCAGGTTGTCGTTAAACGCACCGCAGACTTGCTCTCAGCCAACCCTCAGCTAAAATATGCTAGCAAGCAAACCTGAACATACTGAGACAGTATAAGCCTAACATGAACGCACCGGAATGAGCTCAGAAAGGCATAACAACAAACTGTAACACATTTTGACAAAGGAAAATCTCTAATTTTAACCAAGTTACGAAGTCACAGTACAGAGCTGGGGCTAGTTAACCTAGCTAGCTGTTAACTAGCTTGTCTGATACCATCCTAGCTAGCCAACAGCTTTAGCTCCGTGTTGCGTTAACCCATTTTTCACCCACAAACAAGGGTTCCTATAAAGGCCCAACAATTACTTGGCGGTCACCTTACCTCAAGGCTCTAATTTCCAAATCCAAAGCCGGCCGTGGTTTGACCGAATGGCTAATATGTGGCCAGTTCAGACCTTAGCAAACAGTCGACTGCAGACACTTTGCTGTGGACACCGAAAGCGAGAAAGCAGCTGTTCTTCCTTTCCTTTCCGATGCGGGGTTCTCGTTCTTCTGCATGGGCTGAAAGGCTGCACCTCACACCCACACATCCGCACTGTGCTAGCTGCTGTAATAGCTAGAAACGTTGCAGAACCGTTAACGCTAGCTGGGTAACTGCTGGCGGATAAACTCCCCTTTAATACTGCTACAAGCTACACAAATAACACTGCTGTGTGTACTTATTGCTAAAACTACATATATAACTCATCTTGATGTTTGACCGTCCGTCAGAACACACGATTCAACATTTCCCCTCTCCCTTGCCAGCTAGCCAGCCATCTGCCTTACCGTCAGCCTGTTAGCTCATAGGCTGCAGGTTAGCTAACCTAGCTAACCTCTTACAGCATTGCTGTGACTAGCTGACCGACGTTAGTCTGAGTGCCATAAACAAACCTATACGATCAGTAGTCGATAACCTAATCAATAACCGCTGACCTCACTTTAGTGTTTATATTCCAGACCGTACATTCTAAAGTGCTCCGGAACGGAAGTGAGCCAGCAAAAAAAGATTCAACCGGACGCGGAGACTCGGTGTCGACCTGCGATCTGAACAAAACGAATCGGTTCCCATTTCCAAGGGCCCGAAGAAGAGGAATCGATTCCTCGAGTGACGAACCGAATGTTGTTGCGGAATTCACTTTCAGCCGAACAGGTCGCGTTCTGGGTTTTCTGAATAATTAAATAAGTGAGAAGAATTTATGTTTCTGTAATCTGCTTATAGACGTTTTACAAAACTGTCAAATCTCTTTAAACACCTTCATAAACAACTTTACAAAAAAATTAATGAAGAAAAAAAGGACAATACATAAAAGGCCAAAACAAGAAACGTTTGCATTGATGACTCAAACTAATAATTTAAATAAATTAAATAAAATAAATAATCATTAAACAATTAAAAACTGAGCTGGTACAAAATAAACTGGAGTACAATAAATTTAACAAAATAGAATATCCTAATGCCTGTTTTTAAAAGAAATACATCGATGATATAAAGGCCCAGAACACAGTCTGAATTGGTATCAACCTAAAAACTTGCATTGGCTCTTTACACAATTTAAAGAGGAACTCCAATGATTTTTCAAAAATTCTAGGATGATAGGAACCAGATGTCTGACGAGTTTAATGGCTCTGAAAGCTCCCTCACAGAAAGTTATCAGATGAAATGTTTAGATATATACCCCCCTGATGTCTGACACACTGTTTTATGATAGTTTTGTGATAAAGTTTTGGTTTAAAATTTATTTTAATCCATTTATTTTAATCCTTTCATGGCCGAGGGATACATGCAGGATGTTGTGAGGCAAAATAGAAGAAAACCTTTTAAATTTTTCAGATTTATGGCTATTTTACCATCATCAATATTACATCTAAAAACTCAGAAGACATATCTAGGCTTACCAGTGGTTTTGGATTGTAAATAAAATGACTATATTTGTGTTGTAGACATTGCAATCTCTGGTTCCGATCACCACCACTGTAAAGAAATCTGAATCTACAAGTTTCTCTACCATGAACCAAATCACATCAGACCTCTTTGAATGACTGTTTACATCTCATGGACTAAATTATTCAGATATTTTGAAAAAATTATTAATATAGTAAATGCATATGACTTTGCACATCACATTGCTAACCGTGGATGAGGGCTATTTTCAACATACCGATGAAAGCCTCTGAAATCTCAGCACGCTGCACTAAGCATTATCTGTACATAGTTATTCTGTTTATCTGTTCTTAGTGTTTGTCTGAGAAATAATTTGGTACTATTTAATCCAGTCTTATCAAGTTTGTCTGCAGTAACTAAGCAAATTTTAAAGGGCATTTTACCATAAAACTAGCACCTAACATTATTGTCAATACACTGCTCTGTGATAAAGAAACTCCGACTGCTAACCCTGCTGAGAAAAAAGACCAGCATGCATTCCGTTTATGTTGGTCTGGTGCTAGTTTAGCTGATCACCCAGCATGGTCATGCCAGTTGACCAGCACACCAACATTCAAAACAACATATTGTCGCTGTCCAAAAAATCTTCATTTTTTGCTATTTTTAGTTTTCTGCATAATTTGAGCTCAGGGGCTGTTTCCTTATATAGTGTGAAAATTTCATGATGATTGGAGCAAAAGAGATGCTCCAAAATTGATAAAATGTATTACTTTTTACAATAATTTACACTGACAATTAAGAACGTTTTTGCCATCTCCTGTAAAGTTTCCATTTTGAAGATATTTATTTTTCAGCACCTATATGCTGGTTTTGGTGATGACCAGCATAACAGCTTCCATTGCTGCTGACACATATCGCTGTTTTCAGAACAAAACCTCGTATCTCCAAAATGATAACTTTACAGGAGAAGGAAAAAACCTACTTTACTTTTAATGTAAGTCAGTGGAACCGGACTTTTTCCCACGCCGTTTTGGGTCGTTTCTTTTGGTCCATTCTTCATTAAATTTACAAAAAAAAAAAATGTAAAGGACAACAGGCATTTTCAGATTATGTCAAAAACTTGAAAACCGACAGAAGTGGAGATACAAGGTTTTCTTTCAACAACAGCGATATGCTGGTTTTCTAGCAGGGAGAGCCACTGATATAAAAGCTATACATCTAGACATGATGTTTGGCCTCCTAGGAGTAATGTTAGCTATCCAGCTTACTTTTTTAAGTAGCCAGCCGAGAGAAAAGTGCCCTAAGTACCTCCCACCTTCAAGATACATCATCAGAAGGGGATTTTCCTAGTCTTTACACTGTAAAATCTTACTTTAGAGACTGTGTAGCACCGCTCTAGGAGGTGAGAGGGCAGATATTTACATCTATAGTTAAGGTTTTTAGGTCATCCCTGTAGGCCGAAGTGCCTCTTTAATATGAGTTGGCTAATTAGCGCTCACAGGTGAAAACGATAAAGTCAACCGGAGTAGCTAAGCGCGCGGGTTCTTCCACTCCTGACGAGTGAATGTTCTTTTTACACGATGTTAAAAACACTTCATTTTTTTGTAGCTAGCTAGCTTAGGTTAGTTGGGTTGGGATATTTTGGGAGTGTGCGCACTAAGTGAGAGGTTTTCGTTCGTGTGTGGCGGCTGATGGTGGCTTTGGAGTTTGTGAGTTCATCAGAATGGACGGTAAATACATTGACTTGGCATTGTTTAGAACCAGGAGATGTTAGGAAAGTCGTTTTCGGCTAAAGAACCCCCGAAGGTAGTTAATGATACCTGTTTTAGGGTTGTGTTTTGGTTTTAGCAGTTACTGTCTTAACATTAGCTCGTGCTGAGATTCCTGTTGTAGCTAATGACTAACAAACGCTGCTGTGCTAATGGTTTCAGACAAAATGCTAGCTATTAATATTCATTACGTTTTGTACAGTAGAGAAATGACTTAAAGTAACGTTACAGTGCAAGCTTTCTTTAATTTGTCCTATATATAGGACAAATTAAAGAAATAAAAATGTCTGTTAGTTCGCAGGCAGTAACTTACGTACATATTTGGTAGAGGTGGATGATGGCAAAACGTAATATCGCGATACTTCAAAACTACACGATAGGTCACTTAACTTTTTCAGACATCTGGTCAGTTGGAACAAAGGATAAATGAGCCAATACTGTCAAAAACTGAAAACGCAATGATTTTGCAAACAGTATTACACTAAAACCAGTTAAACAGGACAAATTTTGCTCTCATTATAATAAAACATGCAGTTGGTCGGTGTTCTACAAGTAACGTTACTGATGATATGAGAAATGGTGCTTCACAGAGAATTAAACTAGTAATTTAACAGCTTTTTCAAAATATCTGCATAATTAAACAGTTGACATATCAACCATGTAATTCAGAGTGGTATGGTGTGAAATGCTCTGTTCTAGACAACCTTACCGACTCAGAATTGTCCACAGTGTTGGTGACAGGAACCAGACGTCTGAGATGTTTAATGATTCTAAAAGCTCCCTCAAAGTTGTCATTGATATTTGCAACATTGTTTTATCCATTGATGGTGAAGGGTGATCTAAAGCAAAATAGTGCCCAAAGAAAGCTTATGTTTTCATATTGACCACTATTTTATCATCGTCAACGTTACATATATAAGCTTGGAGGACACCTGTAGGTTCACTGGTGGTTTTAGGTAGTAAAACGGTGGCTGTATTTGCAATGTGGACAACTGGACCCCTGGTTCCTATCGTCACCACTGTTAGGAAGTAGTAGTTTGTAAGTTGTTGTACTAATGAACCATTTTGCATCAAACCAATCTGAATGACTTCTCAACCATTAAATTATGCAAAATTTTGAAAATTCACTGGAATTCCCCTTCAAATTTGAAGGGGAAACTGAAGGACTTTTATCTCTTATCAACTGGAGCAATTTGTATTTGAATGTGCATGTATGAACAGGTGAGCTTATCTCTAATACCAAGTAAACCTTTAAGACCAAGGGACAGTGAACAGCTAAAGCCTTGTCTGTTTCTTGAAGTATATCTGACTAGAATGCCTGGTCAGTCAAGTCCCAGAAGCAGTGAATAGGTTCCATCTGTGTTCTGATGTGCACCTTGATGACCGTGTCTTTTTTGTACTGATAGATTCCTTTATTGTTCTCTTATTTGTGCACAGAGCCAAGCAAAGCTTCACAGTCAGCAGGAAGTGGACAATCACATCAGCGTCCAGTTAACCATTCCAGGCCATTTTTCTATGTTCAACCACCTGTACAGCCTTTTTATACCTACCAATGGCACATGAACAGCCCCTACAGCCACAGCGTCCCCGGAGCAGGTAAGACTGAACTGTGTTTAAGCAGCAAGTGAGAGATGTCACTGTTTTTAGCAATGCTGCATACTTTCATTCATATATAGATAGATATGTAGATAAGTGTCTCATATAGTGTCAGAAATCACCTATGCAAGTCTGCTTAAGATTGATTAATCAGTTTAATTAAATGGTTGTAATGTAAGCAAAGTCATTCAGGGTGGTTTGGTGTGAAACGCTTTGCTCTAGAGAAACTTGCCATTCAGAATTGGTCACAGTGGAGGTGATGGGAACCAGACGTCTGACGAGTTTAATGCCTCTGAAAGCTCCCTCCCAGAAAGTTATTACATGAAATGGTTATATATGCTGCCTGATGTCTGACACATTGTTTTATAATAGTTTTGGCTTAAAATGTATTTTAATCCGTTTATGGCAGAGGGATATATGCATGATGTTGTAAGGCAAAATAGTTCTCAAGGGGAGCCTTTCAATCTGTCGTGCTGTGGTCACCCACTAGGATTGTGGACGGTATTTAGGTCCATGAGGCTCAAGCTTCTGAGATAATTGGAGATCAAGAAATAGCACACAATTTAAAGAAGCCAAAAGGATGTTTGTTATTTTTATATGTTCAACAAGTTATATGCAACACATTCAACTCTAAGAATTATTGGCTCCTTTCATGAAAAAAAATTAGCGATAATAAGTATATTTAATAAACCACACATGCAATGCGGGACATTTGTAGCTTCAACAAATGAGTAGGTTGCAAACTGGATTTTTGGAACAAAAAGTTTTCTTTAGTATCA